GTTCTAACATCAGCGGCAGCCTAACCAGAAGATCCGGAATGGTGACGCTGTTTTGCTTTGAATGCCGCCACCTCAGTGGTGCCCTGTCTTACGGGCCACCGTCGATTTTCACCCAGAGCCCTGCCCCAGCCTTCCACTTCTTGTGGCTTTTGTTCCTGACCCCTGTAACCTATTGTCCACGTGGTAACCAGCATTTCCTTTGGACATGCTCCGGGGACTGGAGAGAGTATAGCAGGTCGGATGCTTGCTTGGCATGCAGCTCACTTGGGTTCAATCCAATGTGGTTCCTCCCAAGCACCACCCGAGTGATCCCTGAGCGCAGACAGATGTGATCCAAAACAAAACAAATCCTCCAAGAACAACAACAAAAGTTCCTTGCACTTCAAATTCTAAACTTTACCTTCAAAGGATTAATGTTTTGTTGTTGTTGTTGTTGTTGTTGGGGTTTGGGGGCCCACATGGCAAGGCTCAGGGGTAACTGCTCGCTCTGCACTCAGGATTTTCTCCTGGCAGGGCCCAGGGGGTCCTTTGGGATGCCCAGGGATTGAACCGGCTTGGACATGTGCAGGGCAAGTGCCCCGCCCCCTGTGCCGTGACCCCGCCCCCTGTGCCGTGACCCCGCTCCCTGTGCCGTGACTCCGCCCCTGTGCCGTGACCCCGCCCCCAGTGCAGTGACTCCGCCTTGCATCTATGACCTCTCACCTCTTCCTTTCTTTCCCTTGGGATCTTTGTTTGGTGTCACAGCCAACATTACTCAGGGGCCGTTCCTAACTCAGTGCTTGGGGACCACTCCTGGTGGTGCCCTGGGGAGCACGTGTCAGGGTCAAGCCCAGATACCCTGCACACAGAGCCTGCGCTCAGCCACTGAGCCATCTCCTTGGCCCTGATGCCCTTTCTGACATTCTCCTACTGCGGGAAGATGAGGCTTGATTCCTTGAATGGCTCATTCCTTGGCGTGTGCCTCCCTCTGGCTTTCCTCGAGACTAGAACCCTTTCTCGTGCTTAGCTTTCCTCCCCGGCCCTTCCAGATCAACACTCGGGACCCCTTTGCCCGCTGTCCCGCTCCACGCCAGGGCTCCCCACTTGAATCACGAGAGCCATGGTTCTCTTGTCTGGGTGTTGGCTTTGGTGCCGGTGGGACCAGAACAAGGCCCTTGTCAGCGTTGCTACCTCACTGTTTGTTCGTGCTCCTCACCCTGAGCACCCTGCGGTCCAGGGGCCGCCTTTGAGAACCACTGATGAGCTTGCCAAAGGCCCGGCGAGGAAATACAGTCAGCGTGTCTGGCCACTGGCTCAGTTCATGTGACACAGAAGCAGCCCTAATAAGGTGCTGGACTGGGCTCGGCAGCTGGGTTTGTTGATCTGGACAGCCTGTGAGAACTGTCGCCTAGAACAAGACAGTAGCATGTCCAGGCAGGAGGCTGGGCTTCTGTGGCCAGCGACAGCCCCTGACCTGCGGGATTGCAGAGCGGTGGGGGAGAGAGCTGGTGGCCGACACCCCAGCAGCCTTAGGGGGCATTTGTCACTCGTGCAGGGCACTCTGAAAGCTTGTCGCCAGGCGCTGCTGCAAAGGAAAGATGACCTGGACCTTGCTCTGAGCTGACGAGCTTTTGTCCTGTTTCTAAGAAAGAAATAAGCACTCAGAAGGAAAGGTGGTCTTGGGGCCCCGGCATCTCATGTGGTCCCCTGAGCACAGCTGGGTGTGCCCCCCCCCCATAAAAAGGAAGAGCAGCAAAGGTTTTTCTTTCCCCAGTGCTAGTTCAGCCTTTGTCTCTAATGCTAAAACATTAAGAACAGTTTCTGGCACAAAACTTCAAAACAAGGCTAGAAAGAGAATGGGAGAGAACATTCCAGAAGAGGGAAAGTCCAGTACTTTCCCTGGACAGGGACTTCATAACTAGGAGGCACAGTCTCCACTGGTTGGGACGGTTCATCGGCACCGAACTCTCCTCTCAGTGTGACTCGAGGTTTTGCCGTGACACCAGCAGAACAGCAGAATCTCCATCTAGGAGGATCACGCTAGCACTTAGAGCTTTTCTGGTGATACATACGATGTCACTTGTTGAGGTTCAGATGCAGCCTGGATTGGGGCAAAGGGGGCATATTGTCCTCCAAAGCCAAAACGGTATTAATGAGATAACTAGGGCAAAGGCGAGGAAACAGAAAGTAGAATGAGGGCCAGGCTGTGGTATAGTGGGGAGGGTGCTTTCCCTGCATGTGGCCGAACCAACGTGGGTTTGATCCCTGGCACCCCATAGGGCCCCCTGAGCCTGCCAAGAGTGACCCCTGAGCACAGAACCAGGAGTAAGCCCTTAGCCCACTGAGTGCTCGAACAAACAAAACAACAAAGTCGAACGGGAATGGTGGGCACCCAGAAATGGGAAATTAGAACTTGTTTCTAGGGGTTGAGTTTGAGAAGATGAAGTTTCTTCTCTTGGGGGTTGGGATTTACAAGATTCTGTTGCTGGGTATGCTTAGAAAATCAGCGTGGAGGGCTGGAGAGAACAGAAGTTAAGGCGCAGGGCAGCAGAGATCGGGCAGTAGGCAGGCACTCGCTTTCCTGCAGCAAAACCAGGTTCAGTCCCTGGCATCCCCTGTGGTCCCCTGGGACAGTCCGGGAGTGTTTCCTGAGCACAGCCAGGAGTCGGCCCTGCACACCCCCAAGTGTGGCCCAAAAATAAAAAATAAGGTGCTTGCTTTGCACACAGTGGGTCGTAGTTCTGTCCCTATGGTCCACTATGTACCACCAGGGGTACCCAGCACAGAGCCAGAAACAGCACCCCACAGGTGTGCCCCAAGCCCAAAACAAAACAAACAAAAAACCCGAAAAACATGTTGACCATTGCCTGTCATTTTGAGTTTTTTGTTTGCTTTTGCAGTGCCGGGAGCAAACCCTGGCATTATGCATGTAGCGTGTGCACGGCCACCCTCGGGACACCTCTCCAGCCGCCAGACTTTATCTTTTACTAGTACAGACGACCTTCCCCTGGATCTCTCCCTGTGGACTGTTAATGCATCAGACCTACGGTCTCTTTGCGTATGTAACACGTGTAGATGCAAGAAGGGATCCTCGTGCTCTGCCTCTGAGGTTGAGTTGAGTTCCTTTCTGGTTCCCAAGACCCATTTTGCCTCTTTGGGGTGGTGGCGGCCTTGAGGGGGATGCACAGACTCAATGGCTGAGCCAGAGCTCCACCTGAGGGCTCGTGAGGCTCTTGCCTTGCACGCAGCCGAACGAACCCCGGCGCGATTCCCAGAACCACACGGTCCTGAGCACTGCAGGGTGCAGCCCTGGAGGCCCTTGAGGGTGTGGGGTGCTCACTAGCCCCAGTGCTGCAGGGCCTCCTCTCCTCAGGCCCCCACATCGAGCAGCCAGCCCCCTGGCAGAGAATGGCCAGACATTCCCCGGAGGTTCCCAGGGAGGGTCCCCAGGGAGGGTCCCCAGGGGGTTCCCCAGGAGGGTTCTCAGGAGGTCCCCAGGAAAGTTCCCACAAGGGTTCCCATGAGGGTCCCAGGAAGGTTCCCAGGAGGTTCCCACACGGGTCCCAGGAGGGTTCCTAGGGAGGGTCCCCAGGGGATTCTTCAGGAGGGTTCCCAGGAGAGTTCCCAGGAGGTTCCCACAAGGGTCCCAGGAGGTTCCCAGGAAGTACCCAGGAGGGTTTCCAGGAGGGTCCCACGAGGGTTCCTACGAGGGTCCCAGCAGGTTCCCAGGAGGGTTCCCAGGAGAGTTCCCAAGGGGTTCCCACAAGGGTCCCAGGAGGTTCCCAGGAAGGTCCTCAGGAGGGTTCCCAGGAGGGTCCCAGGAGATTCCCGGGAGGGTTTCCAGGAGGGTCCCATGAGGGTTCCCACAAAGGTCCCAGGAGGTTCCCAGGAGGGTTCCCAGGAGGGTCCCAGGAGGGTCCCAGGACTGGGTGGTTCCCCAGGGTGGTGATGGGGTGCACCCAGCAGCACACTGCCAGACAGGCTGGTGCTTCACGGCTGGCAGCTGAGGAGGATCTGCTGCTCAAGCCCTGCAGTGCCAGGGACCCGTGGGGCACCCCTGCCAATAGCCGGGGCATCTGATGCAGGGAGCAGACTGGGGTCTCCTTACGCCATCTCCCCAACCCCTACCATCTAATGTTTTCCCATGCAAACAGGTAAATGGAAATGCTGGTGAATTGAAGATTTTCTGATACTTTCTGATATCTCTAACTTGTTGGCGGTGGTGTGCCCTGCCAGCGGCGCGCACATGGCCGTGGTTTAGTTTAACACAAATTACAGTGCCGACATCAGTGTGTTAAATGAGGTATATTAAGTTCCCCTCTCAAACTCCTATTCCCCTTCTTCCCGACTACCCCAAACAAAGAACCATTCCTTGCTGTTAGTTGTGGGGCCCTGCCCCACAGAGGCAGGGAGAGGGCTTGAGCCCAGGGCCTGGTCCGCACAAAACAGACTCCCTACGGCTGGGCTCTATCTGCAGCCCCCCAAAGACCCCTGAGTCAGAGGAGTAGAGAGGGATTGCAGCCGAACTTACACTTCGATTGCACGTATTTGGTGCACATCATCTTGTGTGCTTTGTGGGGTGGTGGTTTGTCGGTGGTGGGGGGCACTCCTTGCCGTACTTGGGACCCCAGAACCCCAGTCAGCACTGTGGGGCGGGTGTGGGGTCTGCCGTGCCAAGGATGAACCCGAGAGGCTTGCCACCTGCCGGGCCCTGCCCAGCCAGGCGAGCGGCAGCCTCGCCCCTGTGCTGGGGTCCGTGTCTGTGTGCGCCTTCGGAGGTGGGGGGACAGGTGACCGGTCCCTGCAGAGCCTGCTGTCCGGCCTGCGAGCCTCCCCCAGCCCCGGCTTCGTGGGGGTTTGTCTCGGAGGGTTTCTCTGACGTCCGTCTCTCCGTGGCTGCTTCCTGCCTGTCTCTCTCCCTCTGTCTTACCTCCTGCTTCCACACGGTCCTGATGTGTTTTCACTTCTGTCTCCTCTCTGACTCCCTTCTCCTCCACGTGACCTCCCTCCTCGTCACTCAGGACTACGAGAGCAAACTGCAGGCCTTGCAGAAGCAGGTGGAGACCCGGTCGCTCGCCGCAGAGACCACCGAGGAGGAAGAAGAGGAAGAAGAAGGTGAAGTGCAAAGGCGGAAACGGCCTGTTTCTTAGATCTGTATTACCGCATGTGACGTTCTCTGGTGATGGAGATTGAGTCGATCATTAGTTGACCCTCCTGGTTACTGACGTTTATAGCCAGTTGAGGGCTGGAGCCATCGTAGAGCAGGTAAGGTGCTTGCCTTTTTGGCAGCTGACCCAGGTTCAGTCCCCAGAAGCACATATGATCCCCCCGCCAGCTTCATCTGGGGCAACCACAGTTGGGTTTGATGCAGCACCACCACCCCAAGAAATAATAATAATAATAATAAAGGTAAGGTAAAGGTAAAGGCCCTCCCGTTGATCGTCGATTTGCTCGAGCGGGCCCAGTAACGTCTCCATTGGAGACTTTGTTGTTACTGTGTCTGGCATATCGAATACTCTCGGTAGCTTGCCGGGCTCTCCGAGAGGGGCGGAGGAATCGAACTCGGGTCGGCCATGTTGGCCACTTGTAAGGCGAACGCCCTACCCGCTGTGCTATCGCTCCAGCCCAATAATAATAATAATAATAATAATAATAGCACTGTAGCACTGTCCTCCTGTTGCTCATAGATTTGCTCGAGCAGGCACCAATAACGTCTCCATTGTGAGACTTGTTACTGTTTTTGGCATATCGAATATGTCACGGGTAGCTTCCCAGGCTTTGCTGTATGGGCAATAATACGATAATAATAATAATAATAATAAAGGTAAAGGTAAAGGCCCTCCCGTTGTTCGTCGATTTGCTCGAGCGGGCCCAGTAACGTCTCCATTGGAGACTTCTTGTTACTGTGTTTGGCATATCGAATACGTCATGGGGAGCTTGCCAGGCTCTGCCGTGCGGGCGAGATACTCTCGGGAGCTTGCCGGGTGCGGAGGGCCCGCAAACCACTCTCCGGCCCGCAGAGGTGGCCCTAGGATCCGTAGGTGCAGGGAAGGACCGACCGAATGAACACAAGAGACAGAGTACAGTTTAGAACAGAGAGAAAAAGGGACAGACTTTATTGGGGGCTACAGGCTGTTTATATAGGGTCCAGGCAGCTCAGTCAGGAGCAGAAGCAGTATAACCATGTATGGTCAGGTCAGCAACAAGAGCGTTACCTAACATTCAAGGTAGCCATAGATAAGGCCAGATGAGCTAACTGTCAGCCTGATGTTGCTTGCTATAGATCAGGCATTCACTGAGATCAGGAAGTCCTGGAAGACTGTCACCAATGTCTGTCCCAAGCACTTCTTAGCATGGGAACCACGGCCAGGGTCTATGAGAGGGCTCTTGGCTTCCCACAGCCGGGCCCTCCGAGAGGGGCCGAGGAATCGAACTCGGGTCGGCCATGTTGGCTGCGTGTGAGGCAAACGCCCTACCGCTGTGCTATCGAATAATTTTCATTAATTTTCAAAATAATAATCATTTTAAAATAAATCTCATTGAATCATGATTTCAGAGGTGCTCAGTGCTAAAAATCTAAGCTATATTCTGTGAGGTGGAGTATGGCAGAGAGCCCAAAATACAAGATTTCTGAGCTCAGTTTTGATTTAACTCCCCTGGGCATTTACGTTTCACTTCTTGTTTCTGTAATATGAAGGTCACTAATAAGCTGTGTCAGCACACACACTTCGTTACTTGTAGCAGATTTCCGATCACCATGCTCAGACATGCCCACTTCTCTTTGGTTTTCTAGAATTCCTTAGCTGAACCTGGGCCTTCGTTATTGCCTTAAACCACGAAATTAGATTCCTCACTTTTTATTTCCCTCTATTATCTGGGTAACGCCAGAGCTTCAGATGAACTTTGCAGGAATTCCTGATTTTATATTATTATATGTACCCCTTTTCCCCTGTAGAATGTCTATGTGAAGTTGTATACTACACTAAGGATTTTATTATAAGCCACACCTTAGAGATACAACTTTTAAAAAAGAGAGATCCAGGGGCTGGAGCGATAGCACAGTGGGGAGGGCGTTTGCCTTGCACGTGGCTGACCTGGGTTCGATGCCCGGCATCCCATCTGGTCCCCTGATCCTGCCAGGAGTGATTCCTACTTGCAGAGCCAGCAGTAACCCCTGAGGATTGTCGGGTGTGGCCCAAAAACAGAAACCAAGGAGAGAGAGAAACACACTGCTTGATATGTGTTTCCTGGCCGGACGGGGGCCTTGGCCCGCAGTCTGCACTTTCTGGTTCTTCTCGTCTCCTCACTCGAGTGGTTCTTGAGGGCCAGATACTGCTGGGCCTGGCCTGGGTCTCCTCCATGCGGAGCTTGGACTCGGCCCTTTGAACTGTCTCTCAGCTTGTGATAGACTGTTCTAGATAAACAGCCCACGTGGCCAGGCCCAGCATGGCGCTCTCAGACACATACAGCCAGGCCAGCACCTGGAGCCCGCTGAGGCCCAGAACCCAATCAATAAGCAATAAGACTTATTGTCATTTGTTATTAATACACCGTGATTGACCAAGCTGTTCATAATACAGACATGCTTCAGACGTGCAGTGGTCCCGCACCAGTTGCACCACCAGTGCGACCCTCCCTCCATCAGATATCCCCAACTTCCCACCCGCTGTCCCCCCAGCCTGTCCCCTTACCAAGCCAGACAAGTCCACTTCCTGTTGCATATTGCAGCACACAGGCAAATGGAATGGTCAGAAAGCGGGTCAATAAAAGTCCGTTCCATTTGGGGGCTGGAGCAATAGCACAGCAGGGAGGGCATTTGCTCTGCACGCAGCTGACCTGGGTTCGATTCCCAGCATCCCATATGGTCCCCCGAGTGCCACCAAACGTAATTCCTGTGCATTGCCAGGTGTGACCCAAAAAGCAAACAACAGCAACAACAAAAGTTCATTAGTTCTCTCTCACAGGGGGTTCCTAAGGCCGTTGCCTGAGGCGTGGCCGGGCTGGTTGGTGCTAGTTGAACGACAGGAGGATCGTCTGTGAAAGGCTCCCTGGAAAGCGCCTGTGTCTTTCATAAAACCAGCAGAACTTAGGAACCCGAAAACAAAACTGCCCTGGCCTCTGAAGGGAGACGAGCTAGTACAGAACTAGATGTGACGTGACCAAAGCGAGGAGGCCGAGGGTTCCGCAGAGTCACGCAGTCACACTGAAATGTCGCCCGTGTTCCCCCAGTGCCGTGGACACAGCACGAGTTCGAGCTGGCCCAGTGGGCCTTCCGGAAGTGGAAGGCCCACCAGTTCACGTCTCTGCGGGACTTGCTCTGGGGCAATGCCGTTTACCTGAAGGAGGCCAACGCCATCAGCGTGGAGCTGAAGAAGAAGGTAAGCGGGTGGAGGGGTGGATCTCCCCGGGACCTGCGCTGGGTCCCACTGTGTGGCAGGTGCATGCATGCCGCCATGTGTGTCCTCCCAGGGGCCGGCAGGGGGAGGGCCCCATCGAATATTGATTCAGTGAAAATTTGGCATTACTTGTTCTGTAGCTTACTTTATAAGGAACACTCTCATCTTTGCTGTTGTTGATTGTTTTGTTTCTGTGTGGGGGCCACGGCCAGCAGTGCTCAGGCCAGACTCCTGGCTCGGTGCTCAGGCCAGGCTCCTGGCTCGGTACTCAGGACGGACTCCTGGCGCAGTGCTCAGGCCAGACTCCTGACTCTGTGCTCAGGGCTCACTCGCTCTTGTCCCAAGGCTGTTCTAACCCTGATAAGAGCTAAAGAAATGTACTCGTTGAAAACTGCTTCTTGGGGCTGGAGTGAAAGCACAGCGGGTAGGGCGTTTGCCTTGCACACGGCCGACCCGGGTTCGGTTCCCAGCATCCCATATGGTCCCCTGAGCACCGCCAGGGATGATTCCTAAGTGCAGAGCCAGGAGTAACCCCTGAGCATCGCCGGGTGTGACCCAAAAAGCCAAAAAATAAAATAAAAACAAGAAAACCGCTTCTCTTGGCTTATTGAAAATCTTGATTTTCTCTTTGTTTTCTGACCATACATGTGCACTCCAAGCCCTTTGAACTCTTTCCCACAAAAAATTCCCCCAGCGGATCCCGAGAGGGGGCTCTGTGCTGTGGACGTGTGTGTTCCTGTGCCCAGACAGCCGCTCCGCCCTCTGCCCTCCTCGTCTCTTCCCTCTGTCAGTGATCGCGTTCTGGGGTGGGACACGGGACTTTGCTCCCGTGGCCACGTCTCCCGGCCCTCCAGGTCCCCTCCGTAGGAAGGTCTCAGCCTCAGGCCTGGCTCCCAGCACTGAATGCTGCCTCACCGTGATGGAAGGCAGGAATGGGGCTGATTCCCTGAAATTCATGGTGTCTTTTTTTGTGTTGGTCTTCGGGCCACACAGCGCCGCTCTGTGCTCAGGGATCACTCCTGGCACTGCTCAGGGCACCGTCAGGGATGCCGCCATCGAACCCGGGTCTGCTACGCGCAAGGTAGTCTCCCTCCCCGCTGCACTGTCTCCCCGGCCCCCTGAGTTCATTTTTGGGGGGGACAGCCCCAGTGCTGGCAGAGGCTGTTTCCTGCTCTGTGTAGGTGTGAGGGGCCGAGGGCATGCGGGTCAGGACCCCTCCTGGCTGCACCCTCGCCCAGCCCCAGTTTCCGTTCGTTGTTGTTTGGGCTCTGCCTTGCCATGACCTGGAACTATCGCTGACTCAGGAATAACCCCTGGCAATGTTCAGGGACCATCTGCGGTTCTGGGGACTGAACCAGGATCCTGACCCCTCGTACTGTCCCCCTGGGCTCCCAGTTTCCTCATGGTGGACATGCTGGTGAGGCCCTGGCCCTGCACGCAGCCAGCCCGAGTCCGTCTGCAGTTCTGTGAGCACAGGACCAGGAGTAAGTCCTGAGCGCCACCAGATGTGGCTCAAAAACCACCAAAAATATCACATCCGTTGTTAGGAGTTTTACCTTTTACCCATTTCTCGATCATCCAGATTTCTCCTCAGTGGGCTCAGATGCCATTTTTGTCCAGAATCTCAGCAGCCCACCCCGTGTTGTGACGGTCGGCTGCTCCGCTTCTGCTGGAGACTCAGTAGACACCGGGGGTCCGAGCGATAGTGCAGCAGGCAGGGCACCGGCCTTGCCTGCAGTCAACCTGGGTTTGATGCCCGGCGTCCCATAGGGTCCCCGAGCACCACCAGAAGTGATTCCTGAGTGCAGAGCCAAGAGTAACCCTTGGGGGGCATCACCGGGTGTGACCCAAAAAAGCAAAAAATAAATGGAAATTAAAAAATAAATAAATAAATGGACACAGGGACTTTTTTTTTTTCCTCATTGCTGTACCAGGAATTCAGTTAATGTTTGTCAGTGAAAACGTAGGGTGGGAGCAAGAAGTAAATCCGAACAGAGCACCCACACGCGCTCTGAACGGTGTTCCTCTCGGTTTGAGCTTGGGGATAAGGCCACGTTTCCACCCCCTCTCACTCGGGAGAAGGAGGTAGCCTCTCCGACAGGAGGAATTCTGCAAAGTCTCCGCTCCGTGATAAGCGATTTTGTTGGGATTTTATGTTACACAAATGCAAAGACCCAAATGTCAGGCGAGGAGGGCAAAGCCTCACCCAGCTGGCTGGAAAGTCGGGGCTACCCTCGGGTGTTAATGCGGACGGGACGTCACCGTTGCCAGCTAATCCCCGCATTTCTTGGGGGCGGGCGCTACATTGGACCCGCGTCCTTTCCACTATAACTCCAGTGCCAGTGCCTTCTTTCTAGAAAATAACTTGGCTGCTGAAATACAAAGGACCGCCCCCACACTGCCCCAGTGGCCGTTTGACTCCCCTGCGGGAGTGACCGGGCCGGGGGCCGCAGGGGGTCAATGGGGTCCTAGCCTGCGTCTCCCTCTTTCCCTCAGGTCCAGTTCCAGTTCGTGCTGCTCACAGACACGCTGTACTCCCCGTTGCCCCCCGAGCTGCTTCCCAGCGAGATGGAGAAAGCCCACGAGGAGAGACCCTTCCCCCGCACGGTGGTGGCCGTGGAGGTCCAGGACCTGAAGAACGGAGCGACCCATTACTGGTCCCTGGAGAAGCTCAAGTATGTATGGAACCGACGTTGTTGCTAAAAGCGCCGTTTGCTCTGGGAAAGTCACCCCTCCCACTTCACCTGTCCTCGCTCTGTCTGCCCCTGCTCTGGGGCTTCTGAACGCCGCTGCTGGCAGTAATGATGACTCCCGTCCACTTCCTCGACGTGAAGCCGCCTCCAAACAGCCCTTCTTCCCCACAGAGAGGGCTCAGAGCCTCCCTAGCCCTGTGTTAAGTGTTGAACCTTGGGGCTGAGTAGATAGCGCAAGGGTTGGGCCGGACAGCTTGCATCCAAGTTCCATCCCTAGGGAAGCCCCGGTGCCCGAGCAGCTCCTCACCCTGGCCTGGCATCGCCGGGTTGAGCGTCACCTGCAGCAGCCCTGGGCTCTCAGGCACAGCCAGGGGGAACGCTCCAGCTTCCTCCTCAGACCCATCCCGGTGTCGATTGGTTGGGTTTTGGGTTTGGACCTCACCTGGCAGTGCTCAGGGCTTACTCTCACCCTGCTCAGGGGTCACTCCTGGCAGTGCTTGGGGGTCCACATGGGGTTGAACCCCGGTTAGCCACATGCAACACAAGTGTCTTGCCCGCTGTACTATCAATTCACCCAATTAAGAAAAAAAAATTTATATTAAAATTTCAGAGAGAGTCTAGTGGAAAGGGTACCCCAAGTCATCCCCTGAGCACCTCCAGGAGTAAATCCAGGAGTCAGAAGTAAGCTCTGAGCATCGTCAAGTGTGCCCCCCCAACACACACATACACAAATACACACACACACACACACACACACACACACACAAAACCAGTGACTTACAAAGTTATGATAGTTGAGTTTAGACATATAATGGTCTGGCACAGTCTCATCACCGGTGTCAACTCCTCTCCACCAGGTACCCCGAGGGCACCCCTGTTCCCTCGCCCCTGCCCCCCACCCAAGGCCGCACCTGGACAGGCACATTTTGAGGGTTGCAGTTTGGAGCTTGTGTTTCCAGTGTCGCCAGGCCTGTGGTCTGGGCAGAAAGTGACCCTCTGCCCCACATCACCTGTACACTGGGGCCCCGACCCCTGCTCCCCCCTTACCGACTTTCTCATCTACTTTCCGCCCCGCTAATTCCTTTCTTTCTCTCTCCTTCTCCTCCGTACACTCTTCTCCAGCCAATTTCTTAAAAATTGTAACTATTGGGGCTGGAGCGATAGCACAGCGGGTAGGGCGTTTGCCTTGCACGCCGCCAACCCGGATTCGATTCCCAGCATCCCATATGGTCCCCTGAGTACCGCCAGCAGTAACTCCTGAATGCAGAGCCAGGAGTAACCCCTGTGCACCGCCGGGTGTGACCCAAAAAGCAAAAAAAAAGAAAAAAATTGTAACTATTACGAGCTCACGAACTCTGTTCGCCTCTGGGGTTCATCACCGTCACTTCCAGAGTATCGCGATGATCGCTGATAGCAGGTGGCTCCCTCACCTCAGCCCGATGAGGGTTTCCCACCGTCTGACACATTCAAAATGTCATAAGCCACTGAGCGATGTCTCCTCTGGTTTGGTAGAGGGCAGGAGGTCATGGCAGACGTTTGACATTCTTCTCCAGATGCCTTGGATGCTGTGTCTCGGTTTCTGAGAGATGCTGTGGCCTCCATTCTCTCACGTGTGTGTGTGCGCACACGTGTGTGTGTGTGTGTGTGTGTGTGTGTGTATCTGCGTGTTTTGTACTGGGGACCAAGTTTAGCACCAAGTTTCGGTGCTGGATTGGAGCCCTGCCCCCTACCCTCACTTTATCTTCTCTGGAAGATCCTCCTAAAGCCTACTCTGTCGCACCCCCACGGCCTACAGCCATCACACTGTTGCTTCCTCTCCAGGCAGAGGCTGGACCTGATGCGGGAGATGTATGACCGGGCAGGGGAGATGGCGTCCAGTGGCCAGGACGACAGCGAAGCCACTCTGACCGGCAGTGACCCGTTCTACGATCGCTTCCACTGGTTCAAGCTTGTTGGGAGGTACGGCGCGGCGTGGTTGCTGCCTCCTTCCAAATGATAAATGCTTTGATTTTGTTCAAAACCTCCGCAGATGTCACAGATTGTTGAAAGAAAAAGTATAAAGGTCCCACCTGTAATCAGCCACTCAGACACAGCCAGGTTGTCACTTGGGTGTATTCCCTCCGGGTTCCTTCCCCTAGCCTAAGTCTCTGCCTTCCAGCCGAGAAATTGGCAGCCTCCCTGTCTGTCTGGGAGCGGCCAGAGCAATAGTACAGCGGGGAGGGTGTTGGCCTGGCACCCAGGTTCCATCCCTGTCATCCCATATGGTCCCCTGAGCTCTGCGGGGCATGACCCACAAACAATGAGAACAAAATACCGGAGATGGACAGAACAGATTCAAAGAGAAAGAGCCCGTACCTGTGTCTGCACAGTTCAGACTCAGGGTGTGACTTCGACCCCGTGACTCGCCGAGGCTCTGCCGGGTGGGTTCACCTGCCTGGTCACCCACTTCGGCACCATGTTGAGAGCACGGGTCCTTCCCTGAGTCTCTACTGGGCCAAGTTCTTGGAATTCGAGGAACAGCGTTTGGAGCTCGACTGTGTCAGGGTTTGAACTCCTTTGTAATTGTGCAGACTTCCTGACATATTTTTCCAAGGCTGGAGGCAGGAGAGGGCGAGGCCTCGGGAGAGAGCCCAGTCGAGGCACTCTGCTCTGCCCCCCTCTATTTTTGAAGAGAGGGCCCGGCCGAACGCGGATTCCTCCAGTACATCACATCCATACTTCGCCACGCCCGTTTCATTGATTTTGTTTCCTATTTCTGGTGGCATGGAACTAGAATAAAGGCTCCACGCCGTCCGGTGTCCCCTGAGCTCTCGCACAGTGGGACTGGAGCGGTCCCCGGCCCGCCGTTCCCCGGGGCTTCCTTCCACTCATGTGTGTCTCTGGCTTTTCTGATTCGAAGGATCCTTCTCGTTCCCTTGCCCCCGACCCCGACGGTTTTGGCTGACTTCGCCCTTCCGCCTTTTCCCTCGCTCCTGTGGCGTGACTCCGGCGGGTTCCGTCCGGCGCCTGCACTGCAGCTTCCTGTCTAACCGACTCTTCTCTCTCCCCGGCTCTGTCGCTCCATGTCGCCCCCGCCGTCCAGCTCCCCCATTTTCCACGGCTGTGTGAATGAGCGCCTTGCCGACCGCACGCCCTCCCCCACTTTTTCCACGGCCGATTCCGACATCACGGAGCTGGCTGACGAGCAGCAGGACGCCATGGAGGATTTTGATGATGAGGCGTTCGTGGATGACACCGGCTCTGACGTGGGCACGGAGGAGGGATCAGACCTCTTCAGTGACGGGCACGACCCGTTCTACGACCGGTCCCCTTGGTTCATTTTAGTGGGAAGGTTGGTGAGGCGATCGTGAGAACGGCCAAAAGGGACCAGCTCTTGCTCCGAATGCTCTAAACGCCCGTTTCGAGGACCGCTGGCCGCAGCTGGCTAAGATGCTGGTCAGAGGGAGCCTCCTGAGGAGGGCCAGTGCCAGAGGGGATCCACTGTCACCCTTAGCGTGTTTGGGCCCCATGTTGTCCAGGGGAAGGTCCTCGCAGTCGAGACCCGAAGCCGGAGTCCAAGCAAAACACTTAGTTTAAGTTTTGCTTGGTCATGATTCGAAACAGTCAAGAGCATCAGAACATCCAGTTTTGTCCCTATAAATGATGCCTCTGGCCATTTCACTAAGCTGCCTGGGGACCGCTGGCTTCTGCCATCATTTCACCAAGTGTAAATTCATTTACCATGAATTTCATGAAATTTTCTGTTGACAACACCAACAATGGATATTTGTCCATTGCTCCATGAGGCAGCTCTGAAACCGTCTTGTTCAGACTGAGGGCGGCATTGTCCCCGCCCCATCTGGAGGCAGCACCCCACTCATGCACGAGTTCCAGTACTGGGGCACAGAGTCCAGTACTGGGGTATAGGGTCTGACACTGAGGTACAGGGTCCCACACTGGGGCACAGAATCCAATACTGGTGTCTGTGTCGGCCAGGATCAGCACAGTGCTCATAGAATTTAGTCTAGGCTTTAAGGTAGTAAATTTAACACAGTGCTTTAAAAATATTGTCACTGTTAGATGGAGAAGCCCAGATTAGACAGATACTAAAGGGCAGTAAGTCTTCTGATCAAGAGGACTTCCAATATTTAGAGTGTTGGATGTCCAGTGTCAAGTATTCTAAAGCAGAGCTCATGTTCACGTCCCGGCCACCAGGGAGAGCTCAGGAAGTGACCGGAAGGTGTGCCCCACTGTAGAAACAGGAGGGGACACTCTGTGACAGGTGATTGAAAGCCTCAGTACGACCAGGACTCAGGCCAGAGTAACAGGACAGCAAGTAAGGCATTTTTCTTGCATGTGGCCAGCCTACTTGCATCCTTGGCACCCCATATGGTCCCCAGAACCCACCAGAAGAGATGCCCGAGCTCAGAGCGAGGAGTGAGCCCAGAGTACCACTGGTGTGATCAAAAAAAAAAATGCGAAGCCCAGAGACATGAGATAGTTTTGTTTTTATAATGGCAAAGGGTTATTTGTTTGTTATTGTCAGAACATTGTTCATACATACGATTATGAACAATGAATATTGTTTTCTGTTGACATATTGCCAAGAGTAAACCCTTAGATTTTTTTTTTTTTTTCAGAAAAGCTGCCTTATGTTAACATTGAGGAAGGTGATTTTAGGAGACCCCAGAACCTTATTTGATAGTTGTCTGTATTTCCTCCAGATTCCTTCCATCCATGGACTAGAGCCATAGTCCAGTGGGTAGGGTCCTCGCCTTGCATGTGGCAGACTCAGGTTCAATCCTGAGCACCCCAGAAGGTCTCCCAAGCCCAGTAGGGGTGGTCCCTGAGCACAGAGCCGGGAGTCAGCCCTGAGCACAGCTGGGTGTGGCTCCCAAACACAGCCAACCAGCCGGAGCCCTTCCGTCCTGTTCTGGAGGACAACGTGGGTCGGCTGCGGTTTCGAACACTGCACCCTCGTGTTCTGCCCCATGGCACCATGAGGCTGAGCTGCGACACGCTAGGTGGCATGATGGGAAGAGCGCTGAGCAGAGGGACAGGAGGGGCTTGTGCCCGGCCTCCTCACTGACCCGGGCTGAGGCCAGTAGGTAGTTAGGTGGGAAGAAAAAGAACCCGAAGGACAATTTTGTTCTGTCATTCCCACTCGCACAGCAGGTGCCTCGGGGAGGACGTGTGCCCAGGAGTCGGGGAGCTGTGCAGGGGACGGCGCTTGCCTTGTGCCCAGCTGACCCGGGTTCCCGTACCACACACGGCTCCCTGAGCACAGAGCCGGAAGTGAGCCCGGAGCACTGCCGGGTGTGGCCCAAGAGTTTTGCGCAGATTGTTTGTTTTTGATTCAGTGGTACGGAGAACTTACATCAGAACCCCACTTCAGGTAGAAATTCATTGGTTGAGATACGTGTATTTTCTTCTCTAGTTTCATTCATTGTAACTCTATCACTTTGGGGGACGCTGGGAGGGTAGCCCATTCCCAGCAGTGCTCGGGGCTTACACCTAGCTCTGTACTCAGAGATCACTCCTGGTTGGTTCTCCAGGCATCTTATGCAGTGCCAGGAATGAAACCCAGGTGGGCTGCATACAGGACAAGCACTGTCTTCCACGCTGTCTCTCTGGCCCCACCCGGGCACACTGAAGAGTAGGTATAGGGGTTGGAGAGATAGTACCGTGCAGTGGGTAGGCTCTTGCACATGGCTGACCTGGTTCTGTCCCGGGCACCCCTTATAGTCCCTCAAGCCCACCAGAAGAGATCCCTGAGCACAGAGCCAGGAGTCAGCCCTGAGCGTCACTGGGTGTGACCTCAAAACACCACCCCCCACAAAAAACACCCACCCCAAATAGTAGATACAGAGTGGGCTAGAGAGATAGTCCAGGGATTGAAGTGCTTGCATGCCTCCGAGTGAGCCTGGATCAAATCCCCAGCGCTGCACTTACTCGAACACACACACACACACACACACACACACACACACACACACCTTTGCCTCAACTTTAGTCTTCAGAGGAAACATTTATGTAGCCGTGGCTTGGCAATGATGGGCCTTTTCGTTTGTCCGAATTCCCAGATTCTTTAGATCTTAGCCAGGCACCAAAGCACTGAGGGACGCGGGAACCCCTGGCAGTGGTCTGTTCAGGCTCGAGCTGCCTTCCGGTGCGTGACTGCAGTTCTCTCTGGCCCTCCCTGACCAGCACCACTGTGTGCGTACCAGCATCAGGGCCTCCTGCCCTTGGCCTCGAGCGCAATTACAAGGCACTCACGGGAAATTCCAGTTCCTGCCGAAATTCCATCTGTTGGTTTTGTTTCTCGGCCTTGGCTGCTTCTGGCGACCTTTGCTGTGGGGATGGAAAGAGCTTGTCCCTTTTGCTGTTCTCTGGCGCATGCGGGGATGTCACAAGGTGTCCCCCGTAGTTTAGAATGAACTGTAAAATAGTTAAGCCAGCCTTCTGGGCTCAGAGGGGGCAAAAAGAATTCTTTTGTGACCAAAGTACCTGACGTGAACATGCTTCCTGTAGCTAGAATCATTATTACGTTGTTTTTTTTTTTTGATCTTTCCGTTAACCAAGTTTTTTTCCATTTTACGTAACTTCGCAAACCTTCCTGCTAATGGACCCTGTACATCTTCTGTTTTGCCATCCTTATTCTCTTTCAGTCTGCTCGGCCAAGGTCTGAGGACTCTCACAATGCCAAGTAATTCTAAATGTCCCTGTTTAAAAACTCCAAAGGGGGCTAAGAGAGTGGGCGCAGTGGATCAGGCACTCAAACCGTGCATGCAGCTGACCCTGGTTCAGTCCCTCACACCTCCGGTGGGCCCCTGAGCAGAGGCAGGAGGAAGCCCTGAGCACCAGCAGGTGTGTCCCAGGAACTTTCAGAAGGATGAGATCAGAGTGAGAGTCCGGCGTAGAGGGCGCTGGCCTTGCACACTGCTGACCCACATGTGGTCTTCTGAGCTCGCCAAGAGTGAGCCCTGAGCACCGCCAGGTGTGGCTAAAAATCCAGCAAACAAAAATTCCATTGAGCCGCTCCGGTGTTAGAGCCGGTGCTGGCGGCGAGGGCTCGCCTGCAGGCTGCTGGTCTGGTCAACCCGGTACCGCCTGTGGTTCCCAGCACAGACCCGGGAGGAGCCCCTGAGCACTGCCGAGTGCGACCCAGACCCCACCCACCCACCCCCAGAGTCACAATGGGGGTCAAGACACCCGAATACATATTTCGTATTTTTCGATTTATCGTTATCAAAATGTAATTGTCCAAATTAAGCATTGGTCGGAATCGAAACGTTCTGTGTGGTTAATTTCTCTCGTGAGGATGGCTCCGAAAGTGACCCTCCTCTAAAGCTGGATGGCTTTGCTTGCCCGCCTCTGGTTAGCCCGTTCTGGGGAAAGCCATCCAATTCTCTTTAATAAGAAACAGATCGTTTTCCTGCTCACTCACATAACTGCAGTCATTCGCCAGACACTTACGTATGAGGTTACTTATTTCATCAGTATACCGGACCCCAGCATACAGTGACATCCCACCCTCCCTGGCTTCCCATCTGCAGGGCGACAGATGACACTGACCAGAGGGAGGCCAGAGTCCAGGGAGGGTGCTTGCCCCGCGCGTGGCCAACCCAGGTTCAGTCCCCAACACTCCGTAAGGTTCCCTCGAGCCTGCCAGGAGGGATCCCTGAGTAGAGCCAGGTGTGGCCCCCAGACAAGATAATAATAAAAGACTGGGGTGGGGAGTGTCCTCAGAGGGCCTCAGGCCAGGAAGTTGAGGGGCTCCGGCTGTCCCAGCCTGCGCCTTCCAGGGGAACCGTCCGGCTGGCACCCGGGAAGAGGCGGAGAGGGTCTGCCGTGCCAGCCCTGCAGGGAAACAGAACCTCCGGGAAATGCCCAAGGCCAGCCCGAGAGCAGAGGGTCAGCCGTGCGAGGCCGTGCGGCACCCTTTCCAGAAGCCTCGACGGCACAGCGCTCACGTTTGGCCCCGTCCTTGCACGCCTCGGAGCCGACTGAAAGGGAATCCATGCCGCGGGGTCTGGTTCCAGGCTCACCCGGCCCGATTTCTGTTGGACCTTCCATCCTCGTTTCATTTATGCGCCTACGGTGCTGTGGACGTTTGTGTTTCGCTTGTGTCTCGTCTCCTTTGAGTTGTGTTCCCCCCCTTTGCGTTGAAACCCCCCTAATCCTCTCCATCGTCTTTTCTTTTCTCTTTGTTCCCACAGGTCTCGCTGCCCTGCTCACTTAGACTCAGTTTCCCCCGCTCATGTTCACTGTGTCCTTCTGTAGTTGCGAGCTCACGCATAGCAAATGCTAGGCAGGAGGGACAGTGGGAGTTAGAGCCTACTTCTCATTCATTCATTCATTCATTCATGCATTGGAATGAACATGTTATCACCAATGTTTACCGCTTTTGAAAAAGAAAATCAGGGCTGGGGATGTGAGTGAAGAGCCCATTCCCCCCCCCTCACCCTACCCCGCACTGCAACCGCCCCTGAGCATCCCCAGCACAAGCGTCACCTGGAGGGGCCCCGGGGACCCAGCACTGCTGGACGTGGTGTCCACAAGAGCACATATATAAATCAGTGGCCATAAGACAAAGAATACAAGCTCGCTGTTTCGAGCTGGAGCGTGTCAGGTCTGACTATTTTTCTGTGCGTTTCTGAATTAGCGTTTGCATTCGAGCAGGAAAGGCAGTTCTGTGGCTCAGCCCCTCTCCCGGGTGCCGTGCAGCCTCCCGGGACCACGCCGTCTCCCAGGGACCACACAGTCTCCGGGAAGCGCTTCCCGCTCCTTTGTCTGCGTGCAGTGAAGAAACGAGTTACCTTTCAGAATAAACCAGGGGCCCCTCCTGCCGGGACTCTAGCTCTCCTTTATCATTACTGATTAAATTTCAGTCCCATTTCCTTGCCTTCTTCCCCCCCTCTGTTGGGAAGAAAGAAACCGTTCCCTGTACTTCACGCGCAGGGTCAAACCCGGGTGCGCTTCCTCTCCCTGCCCGAGCCTGGGGACCTCCTGTCACCCCCTGCTGCATGCATGGCCCTCCCTTCAGGAGCCGCAGGGCGTCCCTGGGCCTCTCTCTGGTCAGCCAGGGCTTCTCCCAGGCATTTGCCTGTGTGTCCTCTGTGACGGAGCGGCTGACGGCAGGGGGAGGGGGCACCCGGGGGAGTCAGGGGCAGCGCAGGGGTCCCCCAACCCCACCCCGCTCCCCGCTCTCCCCCTCCCGGCACTCAGGCTCGTCTCTGCCTCCATCTCCAGGGCGTTCGTTTACCTGAGCAACCTGCTGTACCCCGTGCCGCTGATCCACAGGGTGGCCGTGGTCAGCGAGAAGGGCGAGGTGCGGGGCTTCCTGCGTGTGGCGGTCCAGGCCATTGCAGGTAGGTGACCCTCCTCTCCGGACGCGGCCCGGAGACCCAGCAGGCCGGTCTGTGGGGCTGCACGTCCCTGGGGTGTGCGTGCACATGCATGTGTGTGTGCATATGCACACGCCTTTGCGTGTGTGTTGTGTTGCTTCCACCTGTGTGTGCACATGCGTGTTGTGTTGCACCTGTGCTTGTGTGTGCGTGCACATGCCTGCTCACAGCACTGGGGTCTGCCCGACCTGGAGAAAACCTGGAGCAGTCGTCGTTTGTTCCCAGTGCCCAGGGTAGACCCCGCCCGATCTGGGCCCGATCTGGACTCTGCTCCTCTTGGGAAAATGGGTTGAAGGGAATCCTTCACGCATGAAGAGCAGCTTCTGGGGATTCTCTTCATGAAGGCCACTGGCACCTGAGCTCATGGGTCTTGACTGTATTTTGGGGGCCTCGTGTGACGACCATGTTGAAACCTAGAGAAAGATCAGGATGTTGCTCCTGGGCGTTTTTTTCGTGACCCCAGCCTGCTCTCCAGGAAGGCATGTGACCAGGTCTTGGCGGCGGCGTCCTGCTGTCTCTCAAATGCCACACTGTGTCAGGACCTTTTTCCAGGTTCGGGGAAAGTCGGTGACAGCGTCCCCAGTATTGGGGCATTTCCCCGGTATTTTGTCCCCACAGTGTTGTCTGATATTTCCGAGTATTTGGTTGAGTTTCATTGACTAGGATTTTGCCAAATGAAATTAAATTTCATTTCCCGGGTTTCCGAATGGCGTTTGAGGAGTATCAAAATCGAAACTTAACTGGTCTCAGGAGATGAGATGGCTGGTGAATTTTCTTGAGAACCAGAAGCAGCCTGTGTGATTTTTCTGCTGCTTTCTCCGTTGTCCCTGTTGGCTTTTTGGAGGAGGGGCCTACCCAGCCTGTGATCACACCCCGGGGCTGGCCGTGTAGGAGCCTAAGGAAGCGGTGCTGTCCAGCCCTGTGGTTCCCAGGGGCCTCCGAGCCGCACAGGGTGATGGGGAGTCAGCCCAGGGCCGCGCCCTGCGGAGCTCACATCCTCCCTGCATCGCTGGGTCTCGGGCCCGCGGATCCTCTTCGTGAGCGAAAGGCCTGTTCCTGGCTTCTCCTCTCACATTCGTGTTCCTGAGCTGCCGGTCGCACAGCTTTGCTGCTGGTCAGCCACTTGGCCGAGGGTCACCCTTCCCACCGGGCCTCATCCTCTCTGTTCTCTGTCTCTGCCCAGCGGACGAAGAGGCTCCGGACTATGGCTCCGGTATCCGGCAGTCGGGGACAGCTAAGATATCTTTTGACAACGAGTACTTCAATCAGGTGAGAGCTCGGGAAGTTGCTCGGGGCCATGTGCCCGGGGAGGCAGCCTCTCTGCCTGGACCCCAGCGCTCGCTGCAGGTCGGGAGGGAGACCCTTGCCTTGGCAGCCGGGCGCCTGATCCCTTCCCGGGAGGTTCCCCCTCGGTTTCCAGTTACTGGTCTGGAAGTGAGGGAAGTGGGGGGGGGAGTAGAGGGGGGGCTGCCCTTGCCTGACCGTCTCCCGCCCGCCCTGTCCGCAGAGCGATTTCCCCTCCGTGGCAATGACACGCTCGGGCCTGTCCTTGGAGGAGCTCCGCATCGTGGAAGGGCAGGGCCAGAGTGCCGACGTCCTCTCTCCGCCCGAGGAGCTCAGCCGCGTGCACGACCCAGGTGCGTAGACCTCTGGCGCCAACGGGGCCCCTGTCCAAAGAGGGACGCATCTGTCCTTTGCCGGGGAGGGGGGCGTCTTACTTCCCCTGAGGCCAGGCACATGCAGTCCAGACACGTGTGTGTCCCTTTGGCCTCCCCAGATCTGAAGTCCGGTACTCTGCTGGACGGGAAGATGGTGATGGAGGGCTTCTCGGAGGAGGTTGGCCACCACTTGAAGCTGGGCAGTGCCTTCACCTTCCGCGTGACCGTGCTGCAGGCCAGTGGCATCCTGCCTGAGTACGCCGACATCTTCTGCCAGTTCAAGTAAGTCGCCCGTCCCCGTGCCCACCTCGCACAGCCTGGTGCCCACCTCTGCCCGCGAGCGCAGTGCCCCTCAGCCGGGGGCATCCCTTGGGTGCCTCACTCACAGGTGAAGATCACATAAATGGGACCGGAGCACGGGACTTGGAGCCCAGCCAGTGGGACGGGGGAGCCCAGGAAGGAAGCAGTCAGAGGAGTGGCCTCTGTCCCTCTTATGTTGAATAGATACTGATTCAGTATTGATTTCTCAGCTGATAGGGTTTTTGTTTTGTTTTGTTTTGTTTTTTCACGATCACAATGATCAGGACCATCCTGTTGTTCATTGATTGCCTCGAGCAGGCCCCAGTGACGACTCCTTTGTCCTAGCCCTGAGATTATTTTAAAAAGTGCCATATTCAAGGCTCTTTCAGGGTTAGGAGAATGGGACCCATCATTGTTACTGGTATTTGGCATATTGGGGACACCACGGGGAGTTTGCCAGACTCTGCCGTGTAGGCAGGTTACGTTCAGTAGCCTGCCAGTTTGTGCAAAGTAAGAATGAGATAATAAGATGTCGCTTCCAGGAGCTAGGTTTTATAGTCTCTGGGTCTTGGCCATTGATGGGATTAAACAGTGCCAGTTGGTGGGTGTGACCCCTGCCTACTAGATTATGGAGAATCTGGGTGGAGGATGCTCGGCCCCGATCTGAGCAGGCTTGGAGATCTCAGCCCCGGGACCCGCGTGCCTTTGTTCCTCTGCCGGTACCTTCATGCGTGTGAAGAGTGGTCTCAGCATGGTGGTGGCTGGTTCTGGAGGTCTTCGGCTGCTGGAGCCCTGGTCGGGCGGGGAGGGAAACTCAACCCGCTCTCCTCCAAGGGGCCCTGGCGAGGACAGCCAGGTGCGGGGGCAGGAGACTTTTTTTTTATGATTTTCATATATTTTATTTTCATAGAGTAGTTCACAATAGTTCATTGCAGATAATATTCAAACACCAATCCCACCACCGAGAACCTTCCCGCCACAATAAGAGGGAAGTATGTGAGGGTGGTTGTATTTCATTCTGGAGCCATTTAAGCCCATATATAAGAGAACACAAGCAAGTGTGTTAAAATCAAACACATGTGTGCTGCTTTTGGTACCTAAGTGGGCTAAGAGTGTAAGAGGTTGTGTGTCCGCATAAGCAGCCTTGCACTCCAGGAAAGTTTGCATCGCTCTCTTCCCGGAGCTTTAGTGTATAGCCATCATTCCATAGGTTTTCAGGGCCACAGAGATTCCCCGGTAGGGAGGCACTGACCTTCCGTGTGGTCAGTCCTGGTTCAGTCCTGGCACTGTGCACGGCCAATGCCAGAGTGGCGCCTGAACTCTGCTGCTTATGGACCCAAACTCCACCCCCACCCCTAACTTTTTTTTTAAATAGAGACAGTGTCACTAACAGCCTCAAATTTAGGGTGGGATGAAGTTGGTGAGATAAATTTAGTATTTTTAAGTTCTACTATTATGGAGAATTTAAAGGACCTGTTTGCTTCACTGACAGCCCAGAGGGCCGTCACGGTTTGTAGATTCGCCCAACAAGCTCCTCCGCGGAGCACACTGCCCCCCTGTCGGAGAGGACTCTGGTCACTGGGAATTTTGTGGGGGGGACCTTTTGCAGGGAGCTACTTTCACTGCAGTGCTCAGGGGACCGGGTGGTGTCGGGGACCTTCCGTGCGCCAGCCCTCGTCTGGTCGGACCTGAGTGCGGCCTGGGGATGCCTGGCTGGCTCGGAGCCCGCTGGAGGGGCAGAGGTCAGGGGTGGGGGTCAGGGCTGGCTGAGGCCCAGAGATGGCCAGGGCCCAGCTGTGGAAGGGTACCCCAGGCGGGGCACCACAGACTCCCCGACCTGGTAGGGCCTGAAGCACATGTCCAAGGGTGCAGCTGGGGAGGCACCGCTGAGAGGGCAGGGGGTCGGGCTGCTGTGCCCGGGGCCCCTGCATAGGGGCTGGTTTGGTTAGGGCACACTGGGGGCATCTCCTCAGGACACACTCAGGGATCCCGTCCTGCATCCATTCTCTGCGTCCCCTTTATCTTTCTGGGGCTGGGGCATGTCCAGACACTCCTGTCTGGTAGGGAATTCACTGTCAAGTGTCTCATAATTCTTCTCTTATTTTTTTTTAATTGAATCAGCGTGAGAAAAGTTACAAAGCTTTCAGGTTTAAGTCCCATACAATGATCAGACACCCATCCCTTCACCAGTGGACATTTTCCATCACCAAGACCCCCCGTATACCCCCATTCCACCCCTCCCCCTGCCTTTGTGGCAGATGATTTCCACTTTACTCTCTCTCTCTCTCTCTACTTTGATTACATTCAATATTTTGACACCAGACCCACCATTATTATTTGAAATTTCCCCCCAACAATCAGACCTGCCGAAAAGGCATCATTAGGTAATTTGTTTTCTGGTGCTGATAATGAAGTTGATACATGATGTTGATATTTTAGTAATTAAGTCCAGAGGGATTTCTGCCAAAAGCTACTGGGTTCCGAGATTGGTTTGTGTGCCTCTGTGACCATGGAGCTAGAGAAGCCATTCGTGGGCAGCAACTCGGGGTCCTGTGCGGGGGGTAAGGGAAAGGGCCGGTTCCACCCCCCATCCCATGAGGCCTCACGGGTCCCGTCACTACAGGCTCATACCTGTCTGTCCATTAGGCTCTGAAAGATGGCGGTCACCATGCCGCTGCCGAGGGGAAAAGGTGGAAGGGACAGGACAATGCCCTTTCCCACCCGGGGTGGCATGGGACCGTAGTCTCCTATTTTTTGATGTAGGAGTACTGCTATTCAGCCACTGATTAAGCTGATTGAATTGGGCATGAACTCCACATTGCTATTTTTTTTTAATTCAGAATGGGTTGTTTTTTTTTGTTTTTTTTTTTTTTTTTGCTTTTTGGGTCACACCTGGCGATGCTCAGGGTTACTCCTGGCTCTGCACTCAGAAATCACTCCTGGCGGTGCTCGGGGGACCATATGGGATGCTGGGAATCGAACCCGGGTTGGCCGCGTGCAAGGCAAACGCCCTCCCCGCTGTGCTATTGCTCCAGCCCTTATTTTATTTTTTGATTATGGTATGCCAAACACAGTAACAACAATGGAGACGTTACTGGGCCCGCTCGGGCAAATCGATGAACAACGATTTGAGGACAGTGCTACAGTGCTTTGGTTATTTATTTTTTTTCATCATCATGAGATACAGTTGCAGAGCTTTCCTGTTTGAGTTTCAGTCCTATACAGTGATCAGTCACCCATCCCCCCCAGTGCACATTCTCCACCACCAAGGGCCCCAGTGTCCTCCCGCCATCTCCACCCTCCCCCTGCCTCTATGGCAGACAACCTCCCCATACTCTCTTTCGTATTGCTTGTTATGAATAGCATAAGAAGTCTCCTGGAATTCTAAAATTTTAGGTAACTAGGGTCTGGAGAAACCTTTGCAGTGAGCTGCTCAGTTTGGAGGTTCTTCTGTGTGTCTCTGGATCATGACCGTTAAGGAGCTTAAAGGAGCAGCCGGAGGCAGTTTGTGGGAATGACCTCCAGGGTCCCAGGGGGATGGGGGACTCCCTCCTTTTTTATTGTTGTTTTTGGGCCACACCGGGAGGGGCTCAGGGATCAGTCACTCCTGGCAGTGCTGGAGCACCACTCCTAGAGGTGTTCGGGGGCCATATGGGGTGCTGGGGGGTCAAACCTGGTTTGGCTGTGTGCCAGGCGCTGTCCCCCCCAGCCCGCTCTGCTGCTTTCCCTTCAGACTAATGGCAGGACGGCCCGGAGCCTTGGCGCTGTGACGAGCTCCTACCTGCAGCCCGGGACCTGGGGCAGCCAGCTGCATGCACAGACGTCAGAAGAAGAGACAACAGTTCTTTTCTCTTTTGTCTATTTTTTTTTTTTTTTTTTGGTGGGGGGAGGCTCTTCTGCAATGCTCAGGGTTTGCTCCTGGCTCTGTGCTCGGGCCACTCCCAGCAGGACTCAGAGCCCCTAAGTGGTGCTGGGTATCAACCAGGCTGGCCGCACCCAGGGCTCAGGCCTGCGCCCTCTGCCACTGTCTCCCTGGCCTCTTCCGTTGCTTTTTCTTTTTTTCTCTTCTTTTGGTTTTGGGGCCACGCCCGCCATGTTCAGGGGCTCCTTCTGGCCTCGTTCTTAGGAGCAACCCTGACCGTGCTCGGGGGAATCCTATGTGGTCCTGGGGATTCGAACCCGGGCCAGCACAAAGCAAAGCCCGTGCCTCACCCCTGAGACTGTCTCAGGTCAGTGCCAGAATCCTGCCTTCCTACCACGGAAATGCGTCATTGTTATGAGGGGTGAAATCATTACTGTGAAACAAAAACCGTGCCTGGAGCTGTGTGAACGGAGAGCGCTGGGCCAGTAAGGGGACTTCCAGGAGGAGGTGATGTTTGAATCCACTTTCGCATCTGCCTGGCCTCAGAGCGACTCCAGAGCGAGCCTGCCACCGGCTGTGACCTTGCTCGGCAGGGCCTTGAGTCTGTGGCCCTGTAGTACACAGGATGCTTTCCTAACCGGTCTCGGTCCAGTTTAAAACAAAACCAAACCCGAAAACCTTCCACAGAAAACCAGGACTGCACAGACAGCGCTCTGCCGTATAAATGCAGGCAGCCAAGTCCCGACGATGGGACTAGTGCTCCCAACCAGGGGCTGTGCTCCCAACCGGGGACCGTTCTTCCGATCAGGGAGAGTGCTCCGACCAGGGGCCTGTGCTCCTGAGCAGGGTCAGTGCTCCTGACCAGGGGCCGTGCAGTTTGGCCTGTGATACTGATCGGGTGGGAGCACCTTTCCTTCCGTAGTCAAGCTCCTGGACACAGACCCTGACGCACCCGTGGAGGAGTGAAGACCACCGTTGTTGTTCTTTCCTTACATAGCTTTTTGCATCGCCACGATGAAGCGTTCTCCACGGAGCCCCTGAAGAACAACGGCAGAGGAAGTCCCCTGGGCTTCTACCACGTGCAGAATGTAAGTGACGGGACAGGGTGGTCGGCTTACCTCGGGACTGTGGTTCCGCGCCCGCTGTGAGTGAGCGGGCTCCCTTTGGCGGAGGAAGGAAGATGTTACTCAGCGCTGCAGACCAGGAGCTTCTCAGGGTGGACAGACAATGGGGGGGCGGCCAGAGGGCGGAGCTGACCCTCTGATCACAGTGCCCCCTCCCCAGTAGAAGGGGGGCTCATCTGCGGTAAAATGTTCCGTTATTTCGAATGAATAAGATGTTTTTACTCTCCTTGCTGGAAAGATCCACACATTTGCGTAGGGATAAGAATGGAGCAAGACAACATGAGTTTTCTTTCTGATGGTTCCAAAATCCTATCAGTTTTGTAACTAGAGCGTGCGTGTGTGTGCGTGCGTGCGTGTGTGTGTGTGTGTGTGTGTGTGTATGTGAGAAGGGGAATTCAAAATGTCTGTGGGCGTTAGGACCTCACTCAGTGAGGCTGGAGGATCCCAGGGCCCAGCGGGGGTCTTTCTCCCCCGGCCTCTCCCTGACCTCCTGCGCCTTTGCTCCCCAGATTGCAGTGGAGGTCACCGAATCCTTCGTGGAGTATATCAAAACCAAGCCCATCGTCTTTGAAGTCTTCGGCCACTATCAGCAGCACCCGCCTCACCTGCAAGGCCAAGAGCTCAACAGGTGAGCTTGGCCAAGGAGCTCATGCGTTCACTGGTGGTGCGGAGGAAAGAGACCCCCTAGCGCCCCCGCCGCCGAAACGTCCCCTTTATTCTGAGGCTCTTGATCAGGCCTGAGAGCAAGTCAGGGCTTGGCGGGTGACCGTGTGACTGGCCTTTTTCTAGAATGGAAGATGGAGCCGCAGTCATAGAGGACAAACGGGAGAGGACCTGGGGGTGGGGTGTGGGAATGGCGGCCAGGCCCTGTGGGCAGTGAATTCATTTCCTCTGTTAGGGTTTTCAGGGGCTCTTCTGAGTGTCTCGGCCTTACTGGGGATTGTATCTGCTCTCTGGTAATTGCAAACACCCCTCCTAAGGGCTCTGGGCCTTTGTGTGTGGGAGCCCCGCCTGGCCCGCCAAGCACCACGGGTAGGCGGCAGGGGCGGGGGAAATTCCTTGGGCACTGAGCCAGGTGTGGCCCAGAGTCAGGGGAGTTGGACCTTCCCCTGTCACCCCTGGGACTCTGTCCTAGCTTGCCAGCCACCCCAGGGACGGCAGAGGCTGTGACCCCTGGCCTGGCTTAGGGGACCTTGGGTGGGGCAGGGATGCAAACCAGCGTCAGTGGGATGCAGGCAGGCGCCCCAAGCCCTTCATTGGCTCCACGGCCCCCACGCTGGGCTCTGTTCAATCCTGACCCATTTCCTTTGCAGCCCCCCGCAGCCATGCCGACGATTCTTCCCGCCGCCCATGCCTCTCTCCAAGCCAGGTGAGCTTAGTCACACTCCTTCCACAGCGCTCTCCCTGTGAGGCTATACCCATGCTCATTCCACAGTGCTCCCCTATAGAGCCATACCCATGCTCATTCCACAGTGCTCCCCCTCTGGGACTGTAGCCACTCTCCTTCCACAGTGCTCCCCCTCTGGAGCTGTAGTCACGCTCATTCCACAGTGCTCTCCCTATCAGGCCATAGCCATGCTCCTTTCACAGTGCTCTCCCTGTGGGTTTGTCGGAGCCCAGCCCAGCTTCCGAAACTGTGTGTATTCCCAGTCCAGCAGGAACCAGAATGCTGGGGTCCCAGTTTTTTTTAAAGTTGCTACAGGTCCCCCTAAATGGGCTGGAGCGATAGCACAGCGGTAGGGCGTTTGCCTTGCATGCAGCCAACATGGCCGACCCGAGTTCGATTCCTCCGCCCCTCCCTCTCGGAGAGCCCGGCAAGCTACTGAGAGTATCTCGCCCGCACGGCAGAGCCTGGCAAGCTCCCCGTGACGTATTCGATATGCCAAACACAGTAACAACAAAGTCTCCAATGGAGACGTTACTGGGCCCGCTCGAGCAAATCGATGATCAACGGGAGGGCCTTTACCTTTACCTATTACAGGTCCCCCTAAATTCTCTGGTCGGCTCCTGGCAGAGTTTGGGGATCCCCCTTCCCAAATCTCTATCCCAGACTCCTGGCGACTGTCAGTGCCTGGGCATTTTCCCTGCACACGGAGCCACCTATGCAATTGTCCTGTTTGGGTTTTTCTTCATTTTCATCCCGTCTCGTCATCTCCCTCCCAGCACATTCTTACTCCACACCCTGTGCTCATCCTTCACCCCGTCCTCCTTGCTCCATCTGCCCTCAGACCCTGAGGTGGAGGTTGAGCTGATTGGATTTCTCCTGAACATCTGCGTGTGTGGGCCGGGGGTTACTCCTAGCTCTGTGCTTGGGGATCTGAACTCGGGGGGATTCAGGGGACCATAATGAGATGCCAGGAATCGAACCCGGGTCAGCCACGTGCAAGGCGAGCACTTGCCCGCTGTGCTCTCACTCCAGCCCCGCACAGCCACCTTTTCTCTTGCTGCCAGAGCAGAGGGGTGTAGACCAGGGGGTGAGCAGTGAGATAGCATTGCCAGAGACGTGGAGAAACCACGGGGCTTGTGGCCACACTCCTGTGTGCAGGAGAGGACGCGGACTCCCTAGCAGGTGCCACCTGGGCGTGAGGGAGGGTTTGCCCGTGGACCACATGCCCTCTGACTCCTGCTGGGCAAGAGAAGTAGGACCTGGTTTCCTGACTGGCACCACAACTGGGTGAAGCTGAAACGAGTGCCGAGTGCAGCTGGGGTGTGTGGGGAGAGGAGTGGGTGACAGATGTGTGAGGAGAGTGAGTGAGTGAGTGAGTGAGTGAGTGAGTGAGTGAGTGAAAGAGCGTCTGGGGGGTGGTGAGGATGTGTGAATGAGTGACAGTGACCAGGCTGTGTGAGAGTGTGTGATTGGGTGACAGTGCAGCTGTGTGTGAGTGTGTCTGAGTGAGTGACAGAGCATCAGTGGGGTGTGAAGAGGGTGAGTTGGTGACAGCAGCTGTGTCTAAGGGTGTGTAAGTGGGTGACAGAGTAGCTGTGTGTGTGTGTGAGGGTCTGTGAGTCGGTGACGGTGCAGCTGGGCTGTGTGAGGAGGGTGAGTGGGTGACAGGGTAGCAGGGTGTGAGGAAGGTGAGTGGCCAGGGAGATCGCAGGCAGGTCGGGGCGGGAGTTCCTTCTGGCCTGTGCCGGCCTAGGGTGGATCCCAGCACCTGTGCTCTCTAGACCCATCTGGGTTACCTTGCTGTTCCCCAACATCACTGGTCCGGCAGTAGCGCTGCAGTGGCTGGTGGCCCCCCGCCCAGGAGCACTGTTTGGGAGCCCCCGCCCCCATTGGAACGAGTCATCGAGCAGCCTGGGATGCGTGAGTGGATCCTGGGAATTTTTGAGGTAGACCAGATGCTCTGATGTCTTTTGTGTCAGAGACCAACCCAAGGAGGTCATCAACGCAGAACACAACCCCAGCCGAGTGACGGGCCTCCGTGTGTTCCCCGACTCTTTCCGGAACCTTCTCTGGGTGCCTGCCGTCATATTTCTCTCAGGGTCTTAACGTGTCACCATGCACAGCCCACGGCCCCTGGCTTGTGTTCCATCAGTTGGGTTAAGTCTCTTCATCAGGGGCCGCAGCCATAGGACAGAGAGGAGGGCGCTTGCCATGCCCGCGGCCAGCCTGGGGCGACCCCTGGCATCCCACAGGCCCCCGATCCCGAGCACGACAGTAAAGCAGCATTCACCGCATTCACCGAGGAGACTCGAGCAGAGTTTCACTTTCTCTAAAACCTGTTTTCAAGTTCCAGCCACCAAGTTGAACACCATGAGCAAGACCAGCCTCGGCCAGAGCATGAGCAAGTATGACCTCCTGGTGTGGTTCGAGATCAGCGAGCTGGAGCCCACGGGAGAGTAAGTCTCGCCCACCCGCCGCTTTTCTCTCCCCTCTGCTTGAGAATCATCGCACGGCGAGTGCCCGTTCTGTGCGGGAGTTTGGTGGTCTCGGTGTTGCTCTCTGACTCAGATTCCCTAGCCAGTCATGCAGTTTGCCTTCTGCTTAACTTGCAGAATTAAGAATTAGTCTAAGGCTCATTATTAGAACTAATAATTCTGGAAGGTCCTGGAGCTGGCGCCGGACGCCTGCCGGAGGTCTGACAGGGCCGTGTCCAGGCCCGGAGGCCTGCTGACCACACACAGGGCCCGGCCTGACCACAGTCTGGGGCTGTTGGAGGCATGTCCTGTCCACTGCTCCCTCTCGCAGTCATAACCAGTGTTTTTCAGAGCCTGTCAAATGTCCCTAGGGCCACTGTGCCCTCCCCAGCTCATCTTCAGAGCAGCGGGCATGAGCGTCGCTCTTGGTCTAGTCTTCATGGCTTTTCTAACAGCAGAGCGAGCTGGCTCCTGGAGCCCAGGCAGCCCGCATGCTTCAGATAAGGGCCTGGCTGCGTCCCCTGCTGTCCCCCACAGTGCTAAGTGCCATCGTCCAGGCGCTCTCCAGGGAACGCGTGCCAGCCCCTACTCTGTCTGAGCACTGAAACTGCTTGAGGAATCGGAGTTTCTATAGACTTCAGAGCAGTGGACACTCGGGGCGGCCGTGATCACGGGCCCTGATGCTGAGATGCTTGCCTTCTGGTCTTGTGTTTGGTGGTCCTGGGGGCTGACTCCCGGCCGGAGCATCTCTCCCACCCCGCTGCTTTCTGGCTCTTGACGCACGGTCTCAGGGGAGGCCAGAACTGCAGTGGGGTGTGAAGGGACGTTTGTCGCTGCCGTCAGCAGTGTCTGCCCGCGGCCCATCACAGGCGGCCGAGCCCGAGGTGCGCAGGCGGACATGGACACGTCACCATTACCGAATGCCAGTGACTTTGGGAAAACACCCAGGGCCCGAGTGCCATCCGCCATGGCCACTGCATGGCCAGGAGTACAGAGGTGGTGGCGCCCAGTGGCTGCGCATCCGTTTGTCCGCCCGTCTGTTGTCCGCCTGACCCGGCCTGTCCTTTGTGTCTCTCTCAGGTACATCCCAGCAGTGGTTGACCACACAGCGGGCCTGCCGTGCCAGGGGACCTTCCTGCTGCACCAGGTACTGCAGGGGCCACCATGGAGCTGGGAAGGGGAGAAGGCTCTCGGGGTCTCCTTGTCACTCACTGGGTAGTAGGGACTGCAGCAGTGGGCGTCAGCGCCTGGGGGACTGGGGCGGGGGGAGGGGAGCATCCCGTCTCCCCCTCCTTGGGTTTGTTTGTGGTTTTACTGTCTCTTCCTCACACCTTGCCCCCTTCATCCACAGAGTGCCAGCAATTGCTTGGCAAGCCTCTCTCGCACACTGGCTTTCTAGTATATTCTTTCTGAGCCTTGCTCCGTCCAGCTGCTGGTTCGTGCAGCCCCCTGTCATGGGTGCAAGGGTTATTCCGTCCCTGGAGCCTTTGCTTCCGGCCAGGACCTCTAACAGGGGCAGGCCTGTGGGACACCGGCCCGCCTTTGGGAACCAGAGTCAGTTTGGCCATTTCTCCAGTCAGCTGTGCCCACCGGGTGGAGGGTCAGACCGTCACTTTCGGGGTGCACGTCTGGACGCCTGCTCCTCGAGCTGCCTCACAGCCTGTCCCCCCCCAGGTCCCTCTCAGGGCCAGGTTTCCCAAAGTGGGGAGACACTGTCCTGTCAGGGGCGCTGGAAAGTCCCAGGGGGTTCTAGTAACCTGAGTGTCACAGGGCGGGGGCACTTCTGTTTGCTTCAAAGGGCAGCCTTTCAGGGGGACACTGGGTGCTTCTTTTCGTGGGAAGAAAATTGGATGACATTGTGGGTCGGGAGACCCCCTGACCACTGCCCTCTCTCCCCCAGGGCATCCAGCGGAGGGTGACGGTGACCATCATCCATGAGAAGGGCAGTGAGCTCCACTGGAAGGATGTGCGGGAGCTGGTGGTGGGTGAGTTTGGCCGCCAGGGCCGGGGCGGGCAGAGTCGCCCCTTGGCTGCTCAGCTGCACGGGAAGGAGAGGAGGGGGACGTTCCAGCGAAAACCATGGGCATAGCTCCCGGCGCTAGCCCCTGGATCAGCCTCTGGCACCGCGTGGACCCAGCACCTCTATAGTGGCTGCCAACCTGGGTGTGGACGGCTTCTGGCACTCACCTGTGTGGCCCAGACACTGAGGGAGAAGCCTGGGCCCGGGCCGGCCTGTCGCTGGGGATGAGACTGTGCCCCCAGCCCCATGGTAAAGGCCTCTGCCCCCCCCCCCACCTGGGAGCTTGGAAGGAGACTAGGAGTGGACCCGCACGGCAGTTCCCACAGCAGAGGGTGAACGAGGATGAGAAATGCGTTCTGGGCTGGGAAGGGCGGCAGGACAGACAGGCTGATGGACCCGCGGGAGACGTGACGGGTCCGGGGCGGGTGGAGGGTGTCCAGAGCAGCGTTTGGAGCTGAGGGGCCAGGGACGTGCCACCCCATATGGTCCTCCGAGCCCCACCAGGAGGGGTTCCTCAGTGCAGGGCCAGGAGGCAGCCCTGAGCATCTCTGGGTGTGACCCCCCCCCCAAAAAAAAAGAAAAAAAGAGAGGAGCTGGAGCGATAGCACAGCCAGGAGGGCGTTTGCCTTGCACGCGGCCAACCCAGGTTCGATTCCCAGCATCCCATATGGTCCCCCGAGCACCGCCAGGAGTAATTCCTGAGAGCAGAGCCAGGAGGAACCCCTGTGCATCGCTAGGTGTGACCCAAAAAGAAAAAAAAAAAGAATTTTCAGTCAAAAAGCAGAGAAGGGCCAGAGCTGAAGCACCTGCCCTGCGTGCAGATTGTTGGAATCTCGGGTACCACACACGGTCTCACCCCCGCCAAGCGCTGCTCCCAGCCCAGAGCCAGGAAAAGTCCCTGAACGCCCCTGGGCATGACAACACCCCCTCCCCCAAATAACATAGTCCAGTGCCTGAGGTGAGGGCTTGAGGTGTCTGTTGCTGTGTGAGTTGAGAGGGCGTCACTTTTGGGATTTTTAGTTTGGGGGGTTGGTTTTTTGGTTTCTGGGCCATACCCAGTAGTGCTCAGGGCCTACTCTGGGCCCGCACTCAGGATCAGTCCTGACTGGCTTGGGGGCCATACTGGGTGACGGGGATCAAGCCCGGGTTGACTATGTGCAAGGCCGGCACCCTCCCTGCCATCCAGGGCTCTGGCCCAAGAGCGCCAGGAACCCAAGCTGAGAGGATTGAGGGTCCCGCTGAGAGTGCGGTCGGAGGGGAGGCTGCGGGAGGGGTGCAGCCCCCCCTCCCCAGGCCCCACCCAGAGGCGCTCGCCGCTCAGTCACGCCAGGACCTCCACATCTGCTGGGCGTCGCGGGTGCTGATCCTCTGGTTTCCCCCGTCCCCTTCCAGGTCGGATCCGGAACAAGCCCGAGGTGGACGAGGCCGCGGTGGACGCCATCCTCTCCCTCAACATCATCTCCGCCAAGTACCTGAAGCCCTCGCACAGCTCCAGCAGGTGGGCGCCGGCCCTCCCTCTGCGCTCGCTCGGGGAGGTCACGTCCCCCTGCCCGCCCTGCTCTGCCGGGCCTCGGGACAGGGACGGGGGACGTGCTCGGGGAGAAGGACCGTCAGCCGGGTACTCCCCGCGCTCGCGTCTCGCCGCTGTCTCCCACTTTCTGCTCACTGAGCCCCTCCAGAGAAGCCCGGGTTCGCTCTCGAACACGCTCTTCTTTCTTGCTTTCCCCTCACGGCTTCCTGAGCTAGTCTAACTGAAGAAGAAAAATCTCGCTTCACCCAAAAAAAGGTCACTACAAAGGAAAAGTAGCGGCTGGGGCGAGAGCACAGTGGGTAGGGCGTTTGCCTGGCCACCTCGGGCTTGTTCCGGATCCGACCTGGAAGGGGACCAGGGAATCGACCTGGGTTCGATTCTCAGCATCCTGTAGGGTCCCCCGAGCACCATCAGGAGTAATTCCTGAGTGCCGAGCCAGGAGTAACCCCTGAGCGTCGCTGGGTGAGACCCCCCCCCCCCCGCCCTCCCAAAAAAAAGCAAAGAAGAGAAAAGTCAGTATGCAGGCCCAGGACTGAGTGCGGACTGTTGCCACTGAGAGCGAGCTTATGTCCTCAAGAGTGTGGGTGCTGCAGAGAGAGCCCCCTCCCCGTTCCGCCTCGTGGACACGCCACCAAGGGTCTCTGGAACCCCCTCTGTGGGCCCAGGCGCCTGAGTATCTCCTGCCGGTCTGCCGTGTAAGGCAGTGAATTCGAGAAACAGCCGCCAGTGCCGTGTGTGCATCTTGGAACCGGCCCCTCTCGGCTCTGTTTCGGCTGTGCCACATGAATTAGGTCTCTGCTGTCCTTCCCCCGTCACTGGGAGCAGGTCCCCGGGCCTCCCCGGGACAGGCTGCACGTCACTGCGCTGGGCCCGCTGGGGACTGTCTCTCCGCCTCGAGCCCCAGGGTAGCCTGTGCCTGCCCGCTTCCCCCAGGCCTGCACTCACCTTCTTAGTGACAGGCGGGAAAAGTACAGTGCAAGGATGATTTCTCCCCATGTTGGGGTGTGTGTAGTGTGTGTGTGTGTGTGTGTGTGTGTGTGTGTGTGTGTGTGTGTGTGAGTTTTGCATAGGAAAGAGGAAAGCAGCAGCCAGCACGTCTTCAGAAGGATCTAGCAGGGGCTGAGGGAGAGAGAGGGTTCCCGGGGCCTCCCGGGGGTGGGGGTCTGGGGAGGGGGCACAGTCCCCCTGCACCCGGCATGATTTCCGCTCTCATTCCCTGTCTTTGCAGCTGTGAGCCATCAGTTCTGGGCTTTCCCAGGCATACACACACCATTGTGCGGTTGAGATGCTGCTGGCGGGCTGCCCTTGCTGGAGGGATGAGCCGGCGCGGGCAGGGGCCTGGCACGCAGAGCCCCACCAACCCAGTGTCCCACCAACCAAGAACATTGACTCGGGCCCTTTGAGAAAAAAAGACGCACCCTTTCAGCACTTCTGCTTCCACTTGCAGGAATGTTCTTGAGTCTGCCAGGCTGCGGCTGAGGGTCCAGGCCCTTTTTCTAACATAGCCTAAGTTATAAGCATCTTCCGTGGAGAATCAGGGCTGGAGGCCAGCCCCTGGGCTTTGCAGTGTGGTGACGTGAACACCAGAAACTCAGGAAGAAAAACCTGAGGGCAAAATTCTTTAAGCATTTAATCATTCATCGTTGAAAAAATTGGGGCTATGGCGGGGGGAACTTGCCTGTTGCCAACCCTAGTTCTGTCCCCAGCACCCACCCTGAGCACTGCTGGGGGTGGCTCCAGACCTCCCCCAGATTGGGGTTGTTCACTCCTGGCTGGGTCGGGGAGCAAAGCTGGGCTCGGGCAGGTAAAGCCACCCAGACCTCTGAGCCCTCTCCTCAGTCTTACAAAAAGGCAGTCGCTTCCTCGTTTCTTTAAACACTCTTACCCAAACAAAAGTAACAGCTATTTTTTTTAAATACAACCATTTCTTAATCTTTTATTATTATAATTTGTATTATTATTTTAATGTTCAGCCCCCCAGAAAAACATTCCACGTAGAGTTTATACTTTCTTCACATGTAGCTTTCCTTCTTGCTAAACAAAAATTCTTTTTCCTCTTTAGCTCCATTGACTAGTTCATTGAATTGTATAACTGTAGTCACGGGAATTCTATAACTTCGTGAACAGGTCTGGGGCCAAATCCTAGTGACGTAACGCACAAGCGCACAGCTCGAGTCTTGGAAACAAACCGGGCATGTGGGAGAATTCGCTGTGGTCTAGACAGCTCAGCGAGACTGTGAACTGTCACTGTCACTGTCGTTGTTCATGGATTTGCTCCAGCGGGCCCAGTAAGGGCTCCATTGTGAGACTTTGTTGTTACTGTGTTTGGCATTGTGAGACTTCGTTGTTACTGTGTTTGGCATTGTGAGACTTTGTTGTTACTGTGTTTGGCATATAGAATACCTCACGGGGAGATTGCCAGGTAGCTTGCCGGTCTCTCCAGAGGGGCAGAGGTATCGAACCAGGGTCGGCCGTGTCAGCCGCGTGCAAGGCAAAAATGCCTTACCCACTGTGCTATTGCTCCAGCCCAACTGTGAACATCGGTTTTTATTTTCTCAGGATACAAAGTCAGAGGGCTAAATTGCTCAGTGGAGGGGTTGGCAACAGAGTAACGAGCAGCGCCTCTGCGCCTCACTCTCCCTGCCCACAACTGTTACCTAAGGGGCTCGATTTCTCCTGGAATTCTCAGCAGCTGGGGCTGGAGAGAGAGTCCAGCGGGCAGGGCCAGGGCGCCAGCTTTGCAGGCAGCCGACCCCCAGGCTCCATCCCTGGCATCCCACACGGCCCTCCAGCCACGGGCACAGAACAAATCAATCCACAGCGACTTTCTGCCTTTTCCAGTGCTCGGGGACCTCTGCGGGGATATTGGTAGACGGACGGGCCCACGTGCCCTTCATGCCTGGCCCTCACCGGCCCCCCACCCCCCACCGATTGTCTCTCCACTCCCCAGCACTTTGGTCTTTTATAGATGTAGTTTTTCCTCCTGCTTTTTTCTTTCCTTTTTGTGTTTTTGTAGGTTCTTATGGAGACTCCTAGGTATTTTGTTCGTTGTTGTTCGTTAGGTTGGTTTAGTTGCCGCATGTCGAGGTCAGAGAAATTCCTTCTCCTCAGTCCTCTGTTCACAGTTTCCCGTGGGACTTCTGAAATTGTGGCAGCGCCAGTGACCGTGTCTGTGTTCTGCTGCCCTGAGCCTAACTCGCGCTTCCCTCCTGCGCTTCCCAGCGGCTCTGCTCGTTTCGCGCACAGCCGCGGACTTTCTTGAATGTTCCCTTTGTCCTCTCGTCAAAATCTTGGAGGATTTGTAGCTTCGTGGCTTTTCATCACCACTTAACAGTGGTCGAGACGAGTTCGGTTATTTGGATTGCTGAGTAAGAAAATGTTTATTTACTGGCGGGGGGAAGAGGGGCGGAGAACACACCTGGCGGTGCTCAGGGGTTACTCCCGGAGGTTCTTGAACGGGCCTATAGGACGCTGGGGATCAAACCTGGGTCGGCTGCCTGCGAGGCATGCCCCCTCCTGCCCCCCTTCTATTGCTCCAGGCCCCAGAAAATGTTTCTTTTTGAACATTTCTCTTCTGTCTAGACTGCTGAGTTCAGCTGTTCTCTGAATTATTTTTAAATAGAAAAGTTCCTGGGTGTGTAGTAAAGGAAGTACCTCCTCCCCCCCCCCCCCCCCCCATCTCCTGATCTGGTTAGGGAAGAGAACAGAAATGATGACGAGATGACCTAAAGTATTTCTTAGGAAACTGTAGGAAGACAGGTGAGGGTGGTTCAGTGGTCAGGGCACAGACCTCACATTCACAGGTACCCCAGTTTGATCCTGGCATCACACATCCCCCGGGTACCTGGGGTAACTTGGGGGCCCCCTAGCACATTGAGGGGTCAGCCCTGTTGGCCCGACGCTTCCCCTACCCAGCACTGCAAGGAAGGTTTCCCCACAGCCCCCCACCCCCATCCACCTCCCGCTGAAAACAGTCCAGAGGGCGCGAGTGTGACTCTTGGGTACAGAAAAGCCCTGGGTACCATCCGGGGCGAAGTCTGGCACCCGTGGTCCCTCCGCCCAAGATTCGCCCAGGATGGTTTCTGTGAAAAACATGATGAGTGAAAATGAAGTATGGAAACTGCTGCTGTTCAGAACAGCCTAGAAATCCATTTTGGTTTCCTTTCTGGCCTTCTTACGTGCCGGATAAGAAAGCACGTTTCGGGGGCCGGAGAGATGGTACAGTGGGCAGGGCGCTTGCCTCGCATGTGGCCAACCCAGGCTCGATCCCCGGCACCCAGTATGGTCCCCTGAGCGCCACCAGGAGTGATCCCCGAGCACAGAGCCAGGAGTCGGCCCTGAGCACCACCAGGTGTGGCCCCCAAACAAACATCACTGCTTTTAGTGGTTATTCCAAAAAAAATGTGGCCATCGAAGGGGCCCAGCAGATCTGGAAAAGCAACCTGTCCCATGCAGGAAGATTAGAGACAGAGTCACTTTCTCCTGGTCAAGTTTGTCAGTGAAACTTTTCTTTTTTTGTTAAGTGAAGACTTAGAAGAGGCTGGCTGCTTCCTTCCTTCCTTCCTTCCTTCCTTCCTTCCTTCCTTTCTTCCTTTTCCTTTCTTCCTCCCTCTCTCTCTCTCCCTCCCTCCCTCTCTCTGTCTCTGTCTGTCTGTCTGTCTGTCTCTCTCTCTCTCTCTCTGATTTCATCTCAGAGCCTCGCACACATGCAGCAGTGCTCCCCTGTAACCCTCCGCCCCTCTGTGGAGAGCCTGTTCTTGCCCTGACACACCCTTCTACCAGCCTCCGGGTCTGCACACAGCTGTCCTCTCTGTTGCCTTGGCTCTTTGTTTCTCAGCTGCTCAAGAAAAGTAACTTCATTGGCTTCTTCCCGGGGTGGGGGGAGGACGGCACAGAGCTCAGAGCCCGCCCCGACGCCGAGTCCTGCCAGAGAGCACCTGCCCCCCCCCCCCCCGCACCTGGTCTCTGCAGTGACGCCCCTTTCCCTCCTGGCCCAGGACCTTCTACCGATTCGAGGCCGTGTGGGATAGCTCCCTCCACAACTCCCTCCTCCTCAACCGGGTGACGCCCTACGGAGAGAAGATCTACATGACGCTGTCGGCCTACCTGGAGGTGAGGCACCCCCAGGGTTTGGCCAGAGCGTGCCCAGAGGTCCTCGGGTTCCGGGCTCCCTGCACGGCCTGGAGCGAGCTCTCAGCGAGCACTTGCTGCCCGCCAGCTCCCGGGGGCTGCTGGACTCTGTTCCCATCACAGTGATTTTACAGGGATTTGGTGGCCAGCATCTCCGCCCCCGGCACCAGCCCGAGTGCAAGGCCCTTAGCTGTCCCCTCCGTGCCTCAGTTTCCCCCGGCAGCAGGGGGAAGAGTGATAATACTTGTCACCTGCACTGGCTGAAAGTGGCACTTTGCGGTGTGGCTTGATTTGGTAGGTGGTTTGGGCGGCCTGGAAATGCTGTGATCAGCTTTACGGAGACGGGAGGTCTTCCGGGGCCAGAGAAATAGTGCAGGTCCCGGCGCTGGCCTTGCACCACACTCGGACCCCCAAGCACGGACGGGGTCTCTTCCGGGCAGAGAGCCCAGAGCGACCCCTGAGTGCCTCTGAGCAAAGCGGAGCTGCACGTCCCGTCTCACCCGAATGGGGGCCTCAGGCCTGTCTCAGGGTGGTTGGAAAGGGCTTTCGACCGTGTGCGACACATCAAGTGGCCAATATTCGCTCTTGCTGCCACTAAGTTGAGACAAATAAATGTGTCCTTAGTCCGCTGCACTCCACCAGGGACAGCCCCGGGCACCGCTCGCCAGCCTTGCCTGGGGCACCCCTGGGTGCTGCTGGCACGCGGGGCAGAGCCAGGCCAGCGTCCCTCCGTGCCTGTCGCACTGACCGCGGCCCCCCTCCCGCCCGCCCCAGCTGGACCACTGCATCCAGCCAGCCGTCATCACCAAGGACGCCTGCATGGTCTTCTACTCCCGCGACGCCAAGATCTCGCCACCCCGCTCGCTGCGCGGCCTCTTCGGCAGCGGCTACTCCAAGTCACCGGACTCGTAAGTTCTCCTGACGGCCTGGCCCGGGCTCGGTGCTGCCTGCCAGCCTGCGGCCTCCGTCCCGCCGGGCCAGGGCGTGTGATGGTACCTGGGCTGGGTGACGCAGTCTGCTCGTGAGGAAGGATTGATGGGGATGGGGAAGTGACCCCGGGGTCAGGGGGTTCGCCTTGTATGTGGCTGACCTGCATGCCGTCCGGACCCCTGTGCACCGCCCCGAGTGACCCCCAGGCACAAAACCGGGAGAGACTCCAACACCGCTGGGTCTGGCCCCCAAACTCAGCCCCTGCCCACAGAAGAAAGATGGTTGGAGGAAGCGCTGTAGGGACCAGAGAGAGGCCCCAGGGGCAGGGGCGCGCGCCTTGCACCTAGCTGACCCCCAGCACTGCCAGAAGTGACCCCCAAGCCCAGAGCTGGGAGTTGCCCTCAGCACCACCAGGAGGGTTGCACCCCCACATTTAAAGCCTAAAGAAGGGAAAGGAATTGCCGATGGGGCTGGGGTCTCTGCGGGAGGCCGGCCCGCCCCCACCACCAGCCCCGGCTGCTGCCGTGGCACTGACAGTCCCCGGGTCCTGGTGGGCCCCACAGACACAGGCTCGGCTGCCCGAGCCATAGGCCGGCGTCAGGAAAGAGGTTGGAGACGCAGCACCTGACCTTGGTTAAGGCTCTCGTTTATTGTTCCATTTTATTTGTTCTCTCCAGATAGACTGTGGCTCAGTGGCCGTAGCAAGAGAAGAAAGTGTATTCGAAAGATTGAGACAAGGGGGCCAGAGCAGTAGCACCGCAGGGAGGGCGTTTGCCTTGCATGCGGCTACCCTGGGTTCGATCCCCGGCATCCCATACAGTTCTCTAAGCAGCTGCCAGGAGTAACCCCTGAGCATCGCTGGGTTTGGCCCCCAAACCAGAATAAATTAAAGTTTTGGAAAAAAATTTGGGATCAAAACGCTCCTCCTAGGAAACAGTCCCACCACAGTTCCTGAGTCAGAGGAGCAGGGACAGTGCAGAGGTGTCTGTAGTGGGGCCGGAAGACGCTCGGGGGGGTGGGGGCTGGAGCACAGGCTTTGCATGCAGGAGGCCTGCTCTGATCCCTGGCACCTCCTGTCCCCTGATCACTGTGCTAGGAGTAGCCCCCGAGCACTGTCAGGAATAGCCAGAAGAAAAAGAATGTCCGGGCCAGAGAAGGCAGTACAGGGTCACCTGTGGTCAGCCCTGGTTCCGTCCCTGGCACTGCATGTGTCTCCCCGGCAGCACCACGAGTGACTCCTGAGCACAGAGCCAGGAGTAACCCAGAGCCCCGGAGCATGTGGCCCAGAACCCCCCCCAGTCTACCCCTCACCCCCACCAGAAAAAGAAATCTCTGTCCTCAGATTCGTACTGAGATTTGTGCTTACAATTGAGGGCGAGTTGTGGGTCCTCGCAGGGGAGGGAACGGAAATTGTCCTGGGCATGTGCCGTGTGGGATGAAGCCGTTGTTCGTTTTTCTTTGAACAGCAACCGAGTCACTGGGATTTATGAGCTCAGTTTATGCAAAATGGCGGACACAGGAAGTCCAGGTGAGTGCACGTGGGGGCTGGGGCGGGCGGGGGACCCTCAGGTGTGCACGTGTATGTCGGATTCTGTGCAAAGGAATTCTGGGGCCCTCCCGTGTAGGACAGACGGGAAGAATTGGAGAAGCCAGGGCACTTCGCAGGCATCACTCGGAGACCAGAGGGCGGTGGCAGCTCCAGTGCGGTTTGGTTTTCGGTTATAAAACTGTAGCCCACAACGTGTCTCCCGGCGGGGTGGACAGGCAGGAATGGGTCGAGGTGTCAGGCTTGCAGCCACCGCCCCTGGGCCAGTCCCTGCACCATAGATGGTCCCCAGACCCCTGAGCACCTCTGGGTGTCCCGAGGTGGGAGAATGCGCGTGGGTTAGCCTGGTTTCTCTTGGGCAACTTCGGGACCCTTTTCCCCACACTGGCCCCAGAGACAGGGTGACAGTGGCACTTCACGAACCGCCAGACAAGCCGGGCTTCCTTGCTCTGAAAAGACAAGTGAGCGCGTCCGGCTGGTTCCGTGGCCTCTGCCGTCTCTCTCTGACTAGCTGCTGTGATGCTTGCTTGTTGGTCTTAAGTATTTGTGTTTCTGGGTTTTGAAATCAGAAGGTGAACCAAAAAATATTTAATGCATATGATGAGTTTGAGTCATTTTAGAAGCATGCATGGAAAAGTGGGCAGGTATATTTTTGATGGGGGGGAAAAAAATAGGCCGGAATGATAGTACAGCTGGTAGAGTGTTTGATTTGCACTGCTGACCTGGGTTCGATCCCTTGCTCCCCATATGGTCTCCTGAGCACCACCAGGAGTGATTCCTAAATGCAGAGCCAGGAGTAGCCCTGAGCATCACTGGATGTGGCCCCAAAAACAACAAAAAAACATTTTCAGGGCTGGGGAGATAGTATAGTGGGGAGAACGCTTGCCTTGTGCAGCTGACCCAGGTTCAATCCCCAGGACCCCGTGTGGTCCCCAGAGCCCTTCTAAGAGTGATTCTGAGCACAGAGCCAGGAGGAAGCCCTGAGCATCACTGGGTATGGTCCCAAACCAAAATAAATAAAAATAAACACTTTGACTATGAATCCAGACTTCCATATCAGCTGATTATGTTTCCAGGTAACTCCTTGAGGCATCTGTAAAGTTAATTTCAATCCATTTCTCATTAAAAAACAGAGCTGCAGGGCAGAGATACCTCCCAGGGGAGGGGCCAGGCTCATAGCCATGGGGCAGGCCCTGGTTCCATCTCTGAGTGCCACCTGCCGTGGCCCCGTGGCTGGGCTTGGCCCCCTTAAAGAACAACCTCAAGTTACAGTACGGGACGGAGAGATAGTGCCAGGGGTCCAGGCACTTCCCGTGCAGTGGGCCACCCCGTCCGGTCCCCAGCCCTGCATGCCCCCCTCCTGCCCCCTCTTCACGGAGAAATGACTCAAAATGGTGGTCGCGGGGGAGCCGTCTGCACTCGCTCTGCCCGCCGAGCTGCCTGTGGTGTGTCGGGGGTCTGTCCCGTCTCCCGAGTCCAGCTGGCTGTGTGTCTGCCGTCACGCTGCTTGTCACTGTTGAGTCCCCGTCCTCGGCCTCCTCGGCTCTCGGGCTTTCTCCGGCTGAAGGCAGCCCTTGTCACTCTCAATGTAGCACAGTTTGCGGGGCGCTCGGGGCGGCTCTGGGAGAGGGGTCTTGAGGGGCAGACCCCGGACGCGAGACCCGGGGGTCTGGGCCTGCCCTGGCGGGCGGGGGTTTGGATCTGAAGCAGCGCGGTCCCCCCGTCACAGGCATGCAGAGGAGACGCAGGAAAGTGCTGGACACGTCCGTGGCCTACGTGCGTGGGGAGGAGAACCTGGCGGGCTGGCGGCCACGCGGGGACAGCCTCATCCTGGAGCACCAGTGGGAGCTGGAGAAGCTGGAGCTGCTGCACGAGGTGGGCGGCCCCCCGACACCCCCCCAGACGGCCCCCCGCACGCGGGCCCTCTCAGGAGCGCCACCACCCCCCAGCCCAGAGTGCCTGCCCGCGGGGGGCCTGCCTGGCCCTGAGCGAGCCGGGCGCCCGCTGAGGCATGGCTGGCCCTTGCAGGTGGAGAGGACGCGCCACTTCCTGCTGCTGCGGGAGCGGCTGGGCGACAGCGTCCCCAAGTCCCTGAGCGACTCGCTGAGCCCCAGCCTGAGCAGCGGCACCCTCAGCACGTCCACCAGCATCTCGTCCCAGATCTCCACCACCACCTTCGAGAGCGCCGTCACGCCCAGCGAGAGCAGCGGCTACGACTCGGCCGACATCGAGAGCCTGGTGGACCGCGAGAAGGAGCTGGCCACCAAGGTGAGGCCCTGCCCGGGGTGTGTGTGTGTGTGTGTGTGTGTGTGTGTGTGAGAGAGAGAGAGAGTTTCTGTGTGTGTGTGTCTGTGTGTGTGAGTGTAAAACTGAGTGCCTCCGTGTGTGACACTGTGTGTGTCACAAATGCTATGTGTGTGTATGTGTAACTGAGGGCCTCTGTATAAGAGAACTGTGTGTGTGTGTGTGTGTGTGTGTGTGTGTGTGTGTGTATCACTGAGGGCCTCCATAAGAGACACTGTGTGTATGTCTCTGTGCGTGTGTGTGACTGAGTGCCTTGTGTGTCAGACACTGTGTCTGTGTCTATGTGTGTGCATGACTGAAGACCTCGTGTGTCAGAGACTGTATATAACTGAGGGCCTCATGTGTAAGAGACATTGTGTGTGTGTATCTTATCTGTGTGTGTGTGATTGAGGGCCTCATGTGTGAGAGGCTGTGTGTGTGTCCGTGTGTGTCTGTGTGTCTGAGGGCTTCTTGTTTGTGTCACTGAGGGCCGTGAGAGACTGTGTGTGTGTGTGTGTGTGTGTGTGTGTGTGTGTGTGTGTGTGTGTGTTAGACACCATGTCCCAGAGCAGGGGATCAGAAGGGCCACATTCCGCATGGTCAGTGTGAAGGAGAGGGCTGGGGCAGGCAGGAGTTGGGAGCGGGGCCTGGGCACTGAGCTAGACTCAGAGGTGCGACTGGCCCTTCACGTTAGCGTTCTCCCTGGCACACGTCTCTCTGCCCACCTCTGTTCTCCATGCTTCTTGGCTTTTTCCCATTCTGGAGAAGCCTGTGTTGTCTCTTGAACACACACTTCCCTCTCTGCTCACATCTGAGTTTCGACAAAAACTACCTTGCCTCAATGAAAGAAAAATAAATAAGCACCTGAGTAGCAGCGGAAGCGAATGATTTTGTGGCAAGGAGGAGAACAAAGAGACGGAAAGGACTCTTGGAGCTGGGGCAGAAGCACGGGCCTTGCGCGTTGGGGCCCAGACCCTGTCCTCGATGCCACACGGTCCCCAGACCCAGAACCTGGCTTAGCTCCTGGCCGAGCATCGCTGCTTAAGACCTACAATCACACAAATGGAAAAGCTCTTGCCTGTCATAATCCAGAAACAGTCATCCAGGCCGGAGCGACAGCACAGCGGGCAGGGCGTTTGCCTTGCACGCAGGCACCCGGGTTGGCATCCCATAGGGTCCCCCAAGCACCGCCAGGAGTGACCCCTGAGTGCAGAGCTAGGAGCAAGCCCTGAGCATCACCGGGTGTGGCCCCAACAAGGAAAAAGAGTTATCATGTTGAGGGCTAGAGCAATAGCACAGTGGGTTCGGGTGATTGACTTGCACGCGGCCAACCCGGGTTCAATTCCCAGCATCCCATATGGTCCCCTGAGCACTGCCAGGGGTGATTCCTGAGTACTGAGCCGGGAGGAACCCCTGTGCATCGCCAGGTGTGACCCAAGAAAGAAAAAAAAGAGTCATCATGTTGAGGGAGGTCGAGGAGGTCTGGCCGCACTGTCGACAGCCTGCTCTGGGGACAGTCACCGAGGACGTGTCCTGGGCCACGGCCGGCAGTGGGCTGAGGATGAAGCGGGGTGGGGGTTGAATGCACTTCCAGTGGGTTTTGCGGGTGCAGGGTGGGCAGAGGCGGGGATGAGTCGTTCTCCCTGGCAGTTCTGAGCCCGACTTGGGTTGCTCAGCCCGGAGGTCCTCCTGAGGCTTCCCGGGCCCTGGGCCCTCCCGCCCACGCCTCCCGCCGTCCGCAGCCCTGACCTCACACTGTCCCTTCCTCCTCCAGTGCCTGCAGCTCCTGACACACTCGTTCAACAGGGAGCTCAGCCAGGTGCATGGCAGCGCCAGCGACTGTAAGGTGAGCCAGAACCCGAGCCAGACCTGAGCCAGAAACCGAGCCAGACCTGAGCCAGAACCCGAGCCAGACCTGAGCCAAAACTGAAGCCAGAACCTGAGCCAGAACCCAAGCCAGATCTGAGCCAGGACCTGAGACAGACCTGAGCTAGGACCTGAGCCTGAACCTGAGCCAGAACCCAATCCAGAACCTGAGCCAGAACCCAAGCCAGATCTGAGCCAGGACCTGAGACAGACCTGAGCTAGGACCTGAGCCAGAACCTGAGCCAGAACCCGAGACAGAACCCGAGCCAGAACCTGAGCCGGAACCTGAGCCAGAACCCGAGCCAGACCTGAGCCAGAACCCGAGCGTGCTGGAGATGAGGGTGTTCCTGCCTCTCGGAGGGGCCAGCTGTTGGCCGTAACCCGGATCTTTGGAGGAAAATGCCCTTTGGGTCACTGTGTGTCACTGACCAGGGGCCAGTCAGAGGCCCGAGGCGCTTCCTTGCGTGCGCGTGACCTGACCTGCTGTCCCAGCACTAGCTGGACCTCTGCACACGCCTCTGCTGCCCCTGAGTCCTGAGGCTCTCGTGGGAAAAAGTGTTTCCCTTGCGCTAGTGGCAGATGCCTCAGAGAACTCACTCACCTCAGGCTAGCCCCACCGGGCCTTTTCTGTAATTTCTCAAATAATCCAAAGTCCTTGGGAGGTCTTTGTTTGGGTAGTCCTGGGCGTTGAACTAGGGCCTCACCTCGCCACATGCTCAGCCCACTTGGGGACCTTCACTGGGGCTCTTCCTGGCGCATGGACCCCCATTATGTTATCCCAGGGATGGTCCCTGATGCTTTCTCACCACCTCCTGGAGGCCAGAACCCAGGCTTGGGAACTGCTCCTGCCCCCAGGCCTCCCGCTGTCCTTGGAATAGTGCAGGCAGCCTCCACATGGCGGTCTCAGGACAGGCGGCCGTGGCCACCACAGAGCCCCGCTTGGTTCCTGCGGCCAGTAAGGGGCTGAGCTGCCCCGGAACCTGCGGCCACGTGCCCCCCAGTACCGGGCCCCACAGCCCTCGCCCTCCACCCCTCTGGCCCCCCCTTTTCTTTTCTTGGTCCTCCCCTCCCCCGCCAGCCCCTCCCCTCCCCCTCCTTTCTGCCCTCTCAGTTGTCACCCCTCCCTCTGTGCTCTCCCCCCAGCTGTCCGACATCTCCCCCCTGGGCCGGGCCTCCTCTGTGTCCAGCCTCAGCAGCGCCACCCTGACGCCGTCCTCCACCTGCCCATCCCTGCTGGAGTCACGCAGCAACTCTCTGGACCAGAAGTAAGTTCATGGTTTCCACGGAGGCCTGAGAACAGGGATGTCCCCATGGGTGCCCTCCCCCCGGGCTCAGGACAGCCCCGTCCCCAGGGGCGGTGTCAGAACACATGTGACAGCAGCCCAAACACGATGTCACAGCGCTGACCACTGCTCCCAGCCACGACCCCTTCTCTGTCCCCTCCCACACTGCCCACTGCCCCCCACCGCAGAGACCGGGAGCCGGATCCTGGGGGGCTCTGAAAACTACCTTGGGAGCAGCGTGTTGGGGGCAGGGCATGTGCCTGGCATGCAGCCCACCCGGGCTCCATCCCGCACCCATCTCTGGCCCCCCAAGCCTGAGCACAGAGCCGGGAGTCCATCCCGAGCACCGCCGGGTGGCCCCGCCCCGCCCCCATAAGTCAGTAAAACCAGCACCGAGCAGTAGGGAGCACCCATTAGGGAGCACTTGGAGGACCCCGGCCCACGGGCAGCCGCCCCGCCCTGCCACTTCCTCTCAGATTTTCGGTCTCCTGAATTTCTGCCGTGGGTCAGGGTCGCAGGTGGTGGGTGAGGGGGGGTGGCGGGCTGCGTGGGGACCCCCAGGAGGGAGGCTCACTGTTGGAGATCTCCGGGGTCTAACTGAGTCTCCCCGCCCCGGCCAGGACCCCCGAGGCCAGCTCCCGGGCCTCCAGCCCCGGCCCCGACTATGAGCAGTTCCAGATTGTCCCGGCTGTGGAAACACCATTTTTGGCCCGAGCCGGAAAGAACGAATTCCTCAACCTTGTTCCAGATATTGAAGAAATCAGACCAGGGTGAGTACGTGAGCCGGCGGCGGGGCCCGGGCCGAGAAGGGCGTCCCCTCCTCTCGCCGTCTCGGCGTGAGCGGACAGTCCCCGCCCAGCCTCCTGTGGAAACGGTTTCACGATCGAAGCCATCAGACTAGGGTCTTACAGGTCTGCCAAGTCGTCCTTGACCCGTCGGGGGGTACCGACTGGTCACTGCGGGGCCACTCCCGGCTGCCCTGCCAAGGGTCCGTGCCTCCGTCTGGCGGGGAGAGCCGGGCGGGCGCCGGTCTCGGCAGGGCGGGTTGGGGTCCCTGCTCGTTCCCCCCTGACTCCCGCCTCTCTCGCTCTGCCCCCAGCTCCGTGGTCTCCAAGAAGGGCTACCTGAACTTCAGGGAGCCCCTTTCCAACAGCTGGGCCAAGCACTTCGTGGTGGTCCGCCGGCCCTATGTGCTCATGTACAACAGTGACAAGGACCCGGTGGAGCGCGGCGTCATCAACCTGTCCACGGCCCAGGTGGAGTTCAGCGACGACCCGCAGGCCCCCGCCAAGGTGCGTGCCACCCGCCCGTGGAGCCAGTTCCTTCTCTCCTCTTCTTCCTCTTCCTGCTCCTCCTCCTCCCCTCCCCAGCCCCCTCCCTGCTCCCACTTCCTTCTTCACCTTCTCCTCCTCCTCCTCCTGTTTTTCTTTTTCATTCCTATCTTGAGTTTGGGGCCACGCCTGGCAGTGCTCCAGGGCTGCCCCCAGCTTGTGCCTAGGGGTCGCTGCCGGGAGTCCTGGGGATGGTACCGGGGGTCCCGCATGCCAGCCCCGCAGCCTGGCCCCGGCCCTCACTCTGTCCCCCTTACTGGGGGTCGGGGCCAACCCAGCATTGCTCAGGGGCCACTCAGGGCCCCGTGCTGTGGCTCGGGGGCCACGTGGTGCTGGGGAGGGGGGTGGAACGAGGGCTGCCCCTCGCTCGCACCGTCCCCTCCCCTCCTGTGCTGTCTCTCCGGCCCCAGCACCCTGGCACACAGTGCGGGGGGGCCCGGACCCCCAGTGACTCTGCCGCCCCGCACCCTTGCAGGTGCCCAACACCTTTGCCGTCTGCACGAAGCACCGGGGGGTCCTCCTGCAGGCGCTCAACGACAAAGACATGAACGACTGGTTATATGCCTTCAACCCCCTGCTCGCCGGCACCATCCGGTGGGTGCCTGCCTCCGCTGGGGGAGGGGACAGCCCGGGAACAGGCTTGGGGCAGTGACCGGGGTGCAGCCGGGTTGCGGGGTGCACGCCGTGTCCCAGCTGCTCACGGGACTCTGGCCGCGTTGACTCCCGTCCGCAGGGCGTGGGAAAGGGGAGATGGCGAGCCCCTCCCTCGTGGGACCCCAAGCCAGTCCACATCCGGCCGCTGTTGCTAGGCGGGGGACGGGGGACGATGACACCAGGGGAGGGGCGGGAGAGGGATGGTCCCCAGGAGTGGCCTCTGACCCCGCCCCCGTGTCCCCGCAGGTCCAAGCTGTCCCGCAGATGCCCGAGCCAAGCCAAGTTCTGAGCGGCCGCGCGCGCCGCCCGCCTTTGCGATATAAAGGAAGTGTCACCCTCACCTCTGTGGCTCTGTCCGCGCCCCCTGCTGCCCCCTCGCGCTCCAGACCCCCCCTCCCGCTCCGGACCTCCCCTCTGTGCTGAGACTCTCGTTAGTAGCATGTGGCCTAACCCAAGGGGGGAGGGACACACCCGCCCGCCCACCCAGCCCGAGCCCCCCGGCCGCCTGCAGCTCCGGTTCTTGGTGATTTTGGTCCCTTTCGCCGCCGCCCGGTCCCCGCCTTGTCCACCCCTCACGCCCGTCCCTCCGTGTGCGGGGACTTGGTCTCCTCTGCGGGAAGGTGTCACGCTTGGCTTCCTCCGGCCGTCGTGGTTTAGAGCCTGCGCGAGGTGCCGCCCCGTCTGCCCGGCAGTGTCCCTTGGGTGAAGGGTGGGGGTCGGGCACGGGGACAGGGAGAGTCTCCGAAACCGAGGCAGCAGCCTGCCAGGGGCTGCCGGGAGAGGCGGAGGGCCTGGCTCCCCCGGGTGGGTTCGGTGGGCCGGGCAGGCTGTGAGGGTGAGGCGGCCGGTGAGGGAGCCCGGGACCCGCCCCGTCCGTGTCCTGCTGTTCACACTTGCGCCACACGAGGGCACCGTCCACCTTCTGGACCCGGGTGGCACCTGCTTCGCTGAAAGGCTGGTTAGTGGCTTTCAAGTGTGGACGCCGGCCACGGCCGTGACCCCTCAGATGGGAAATGCATTAACTGGAGGCCCCTTCTGGGTCCCAGAGCAAACCGGGAAGTGTCCCCAAATCCCTGTGGCTTAAACCTGTGACTCAGCTGGTCAGCCCTACCTGGCTGGGAAACATCACCTGAGGACAGGGGACACCGGCTGGAGCCCTCCCTGCTGACCCCGTGGAAGGTGCTGGAAGGTTCTGGAAAGCGGTTGTGCAAGAACGGTAGGGGAGAGCTTTGACGGACACACATGTCCCTGCCTGCCACAGGCTCCCAGGGAAGCGGCTGTGCCCACTCTGTGCAGGACTGAGGGCCCGTGGCCTTGAGTCCGCTCTCAGGAGAGGACCCACCAGGTGGCCCGGGGGAGGCGCATCTTCCACACTCCGGCCTCACCCTGTCTCGCCCACAGAGGGAAGGGGGCTCGGGGACGCAGGAACCCCCAGACCCGTGACCCCAGCAAGTGGTGGAAACACTCAGGAGCTTTCTGGAAGGTTCTTCCCCTCCTTAACTGTAGGATGCTGGCTGTGGCGTTGCTTGTTTCCTAAGTGGTCTGTGAAAGTTTTAATGTCGTTCCGGGTTTGCTCATTGTCTAACGGACAAAATAGGCCCTCGGGGCGTCCCGCTGGGCCGGACTCGGGGTGTGGTGGGCAGCTCCTGGACCGGAACCACCCCTCACCGCAGGGTCGTCGGCAAGATGGAACTTGGGCTTTTGCAGATGAAATCCTGGACGCCGTTGGGGTGCCCAGCACGTGGCCCGGCTCTGTGGTGTGGGGAGGCGGGAGGCTGGGGCCGGGGACCATGTGACACAGGGATGGGCGGGTGCTTAGCCGCAATGCCAATGCTGATGCCGCTGGCTCGGGTAGTCTTTGCTCTGGAGGTGCCAGACGGCCAAACAGGCTGGACTGGACGGCCACAACTGGCCGGTGAGAGGCCCCGAGGCTGCGCTGCCCACGGCCTGCCCTGCCAGGGCTGGCGCCACCCAGGACCTCAGCGCCCCTTTGCCGAGAGGAGTCGGGCGGTCTCGGGCAGAACCCCAGGAAGCCCGGAGCAGGCTCCAAGGCTGGGTCCGGAGGCGGGTGGGCAGGAAGTGCCACTGGAGAGAAGCCCCTTGAGAGCGCCTTTCCGCACCTGTATTTCCCCTCCTTGGAGCAACGGAATGAAGGGAAGGAGAAAACCCTCCCCGGATTACAGAGAGGCGAGGCCGCCCTGTATGAGTGAGAATCTCCCCCACCCCTCCTTCCTGCCAGCTCATCCCGCCTCCCCTCCCTGCCCCCCGAGAGTCAGCCAGCTCTCACCGCTGCGGGGGGCCGGCCAGCCCCCACACAGCCGGGTGCAGGGAAGGGCGGGCACCCATCCCCCTGCCCGGCTGAGAAATCAGCGTTGTCCACTTCCACTTACTCCCAGCCCCCCCTTCCCGCCCCCACCCCTGCCTGGGACTCGGCCCCTGTCCTGGGGGAGATTCTGATAAGATTCTGATAAGATCCCTGAAAGGGTCCATCGGGTCCTGGTGGTCCAAACGGGCGCCTGGCCCCTGCTTCAAAGCAAAGACTGGCCCGCCCTCGCCGTCTCCCTCACCGTGGCTCATCAGAGCGAGGGCCGGGCGGGATGGCGCTGGCCACGGGCCCCAACTGCCCCGAAGCACCCGCGTGGGATTAGGGCCGGCTCGTTTGCTGGACGTGGGTCTCCAGAGTTCCTTTTGGCTCCCTTTGAAACCACGTGATTATTAATCTGCTCCTTAACATGCAAAGACTAACTCTGCTTCTTCAGGCTTGCTGAGCGCCGCCCCGCCCCTGCCATAGGCATGGGGGTCTGTGCTGCCGTCGGCAGGGGCGTGCCAGCCGAGAGTGGGTCTGAGGCCCTGGGAAAGCTCTGGAAAGGAGGTTTAAAGGCAGGAACGGTCGTTGGCACGGGTCCTTTGCTCAGAGACTCCCGCCCGGGGGCTGCTCGCAGAGGGACGCTCAGCCGAGGCGGTCTCTGGCGGGGCCTGGCTGCTGGCTGCGGCCCCCGTGTCTGAGCTCCCACGCCCTCACGACGAACATCCTGGCACCGTTTCTCCTGAGGAACCCATCGCCTTCCCGCGGGGGCTGTGGAGGGCGTCTCCGAGACTGGCTCCCGCTCCCCGTCGGGCGAGACCCCCGGCTCCCCCCACCCTCCGACCAGGCCTGGCACCTGTGCCTCCCTGCGAGGGAGTGAGCGGCGGCAACAGTACACGGTTCATTTCCGGTCTTCATCTTCATGTTTTATTATGTAAATACTCTCTGACGTTCGGAGCTCGAGTATACAGAATGTAAATAGAGTTCTCGTATTTGTACTAATTCTGGTTCTTTTGCTGTATAGCCCTCGATGTGCAATGCAGACATTACCTAACTGTGTGTAGCCTTGCATCACGGAACTCGGTGACCGAGGTCAAAATAATAAAGGTACAACCAGTGCATCAGCGGGGTGTGCCTTTGTCTTGACGCCCTGCGGTACTTACACACAGACTCGGGTGGGCACGGTGTGGGGGACACACTCAGGAGAGCTCAGGGATGGGGTCCGGCCGCCTCCCAGCCCTGCAGAGATTGTCTTTCTCTGTTATGTCTTTGGGTCACATCCGACCGTGCTCGGGGCTGACTCCTGACTCTGTGCTCGGGAATCACTCCTAGCGGTGCTTGGGGGATCCCATGGGATGCCGGGGATCGAACCCAGACCGGTCCCCAGGCAAGGCAAACGCCCCTCCTCCTTGTCCAGCCGCGACACCCAAGAGATTTCTTGACTTGCCGAGGTACCACTTGTCCAGAACAAAGTCCACTGTGGCATGGGATATCAGACAACCAGGAGCGTGGCTGTGCCACGTCTGAGAGTGCCCTGCTCCCGTGGGCCGAGAGGGACGGCAGGGCTCAGGGCACGCGCTCTGCTCGTGGCCAAACCTGGTTCTCTCCCAGGGTGAGGGTGTGACCCGAAACCTGAAAGGGAGAATAAGAAAGCGCCTTCCCCGTGTGGCTGTTCCAGCGGGGAGACTCGTGGCGGGTGGTCGCTTCATGGCGGGGTGAGGGGGGCGTGCTTAGACTCTGCACGCCGGTGCAGCAGGCCTGCGGTGCAGCAGAGCCCAGACAGGGGTCCTCGTGGGTTGCATTTGGGGGCAGAGGGGAGAGCCGCGTGGCGAGCAGAGCCGAGTGCCGTGTGCAGGGGTAACAGGCGCCCAGCTCAATGGTGGCCAGCGGCCAGTCTGCCAGAGACAAATAAGCCAGAGTGCTGGCACGACGGGGAGGGCTCTCGCCTTGCACACAGCCCACCCAGGTTTGATCCCCGGCACCCCATAGGGTCCCCCGAGCCCCGCCAGGAGCGATCCCTGAGCACCACCAGCCGTGGCCCAAAACCAAAAGGTTCAGAGAAGCAAAGGAAGCATCTGTCCCGATCTCGGGGTTGGGAAGGCTCTTGGGGGCGCTGACGTTTCGGCGGGCTCCTTCCTCTTGATGGACGGGGTCAGCCATACCCACCCCACGCCAGGTCTCGGGAGAGTGCCGCCAGGTGGGCGGGGCAGAGGCCAGCAGTGCCTGTTCCCTGCTGGGCCCAGCTCCGAGGTTTCCATTCTTCAGCGCCCTTTGGCCTAGGAACGTGGGCTCTGGCCTTTGTCATTGTTGGCCTTTGGGGGGAGCTAGAAGGGTGAGGCCACACCTGGTGGTGTGCTCAGGGTCACTCCTGGCAGTGCTGTGGGCTCACGTGGTGCCAACCCTCTGTGCCTTCTCCCCAGCCCCAAAGTAATAGTGTTGGGTTTTTGGGGATGGGGGCGCCAAGCATTGAACCCAGAACCTCAATACATGCAAGGGAAGCTCTTGGCCACTTTTTGGCACTCTCGGGCGCCCGCCCTCCCCCCTCATTGCTTTCTGTTCTGCCACGTGAACCAGTCCTTCGGGTTTGTAAGAATTCCAAGGTCCTGCATGGCACAGCCGGGAGTCTCAGATCAACCCAGCCCTTCGACTTCCACACCCCCTTATGTAATCGGAACTGTGGGCTCAGCCCAGGGCTACAGGCTGGGGCTGCTTTTGTACAGTTGATTCCTGTGCTTTGAGTCAGGATTTGGGGAGTTGGGGCCAGACAAAAACATCGCTGACAGGGTGCCTGGTCATGAGCTGACTTTCTTAAGCGTTGGAGGCTTTGCTGAAAATCAAAGGTCAAGCACCAAGCTCAAAACATTTGCAACCAGGAATCGGGGAGCAGAAATGTCACCCATAAGGCACCATGAATGGGCGGCAGAAATGTCCTCCCCTCCATGAGGTGCCTAGTAGTGGGGGGCACATTTCTGCCCCCGATCACTGATGCCTAGTGGTAGGGAGGACATTTCTGCCCGCTGATTCCTGGTGCCTAATGGGGGACATTTCTGCCCCCGTTACCTGGTACCAAAAAGGAGGGACATTTTTGTGCCCCAATCTCTGGAGCCTAGTAGTGGGGGGACTTTTTGCTCCCCAATTCCTTGTGCCTAATTGGGGGACATTAACGCCCCCCCCTCCCGCCGATTACTTGTGCCTAATTGGGGCGACATTTCTGCTTCCCCATCCATGGTATCTAGTCACATGGGGACATTTTTGCCCCTTGATTCTAGATGCATATGGGGGACATTTCTGTCCCCCGCTCTCTGGTGCCTACCTGTGGGGGGACATTTCTAACTACAGATTCCTGGTGCCTAATGGGGGAGACATTTCTGCCCTCCGAAACCTTTTGCAAAAAAAAAAAAAAAAAAACATTTGCAAGCCTTAGTTTTACTCTGTCCACTGGGCCTTTGTGAAAACCCTGCCCTCTGACCCTGGGGGGGTGGGGGGACTCAGCCCTGCCCTCTGACCCCTGTCATTTCCTTTCAGTCCTGGGGGGGTCTGGGGAAGGCCGCGGGGGTGGGGATTTCTATACAGAAGCAGCCAAGTTCCTGGGCGCTAGAACCTGTGGAAGACTGTGAGGCACTTGGGTGTGTCCAGATGTCTAGTCACTTTGACTCAGCATAATTTCTCCTTGCTAAATCTCAGACTAAAGCAATCAATTCCTTCCTGCAGCCCAATCTCTGAGTGCACTTTCCTTGTAACCCTGGGGAAAGAGGAAGTAGTCCCAGCACCGGGGTGAGCGGTGAGCGTAGCCTGCCCCGCCCTGGGCTGGTTTGAAGAGAGCCCTTGTGTAAAATCCTGCCTAGGAAATTGCACCATCTGCAGTTTTTCTTCCCAAACTGGCCGCTGGACACATGCAAAGCACGCACCCCAGCCCCTAGAAGGAGTTTTCAGGGGGGCCAGAGAGAGTGTGAAGGGCTGAGCACTTATTTTCTCCGTGGAAGGGTCAGGGCTATTCCTAGTACAGTCCAGTGAGCACCACGACCTGTGCCCCCCCCCAAACCAAAAGAATTTCCAGATGTAGTATAAGTTGGAATTCTGCAAAATTAAAAAAAAAAAACCTTCTCTCTGTAGGGGCCAGCAAGAGAGTACAGTGCATAGGGCACTTGCTTTGCATCCAGCCAGCCTGGGTTCAATCCTTCACATCCCATAGCACAGAGCCAGGGTCACCCCAGCATCACCAGGTGTGGCCCAGGAGAGAGAGAGAGAGAGAAAGAGAGAGAGTGAGAGAGAAAATGAAAAGACAAGCCACAAACTGGAAGAAAGCATATTTTTAAAAAAATCATAAGTCTGATAGAGGAATTTTTTTTTTTGCTTTTTGAGTCACACCCAGTGATGCTCAGGGGTTATTCCTGGCTCATGCACTCAGGAATTACTCCTGGCGGTGCTCGGGGGACCATGTGGGATGCTGGGAATTGAACCAGGGTCAGCTGCGTGCAAGGCAAATGCCCTACCCGCTGTGCTATCGCTCCAGCCCTGATAGAGGAATTTTTGAATCCACTGGAAGCAACTTGTAGGGGTCCTTTCTGGTAATACTGGGGTGCCCAGTCTACACCGGCGGTCCTAGGGGCCCAGGTGCTAAGGGCTGTGGGTCCGAAGCCTCACACAGGCAGGGCTCATGCACGAGCATCTCATCTGCATCCTGGCCCCAAACAGTCCTTCCCTGGGTGCTGAGGAGATGGCCCAGCACGTGGGGTGCTCACCTTGCAGCCAACCCGATTTTATTCCCAGCACCCCTTAGGGTCTCCTGAGCTCCACCATGAGTGATCTCTGAGCACAGAGCCAGGAGTAAGCCCTGGAGCCTGTGGGCCCCTCAAAATCCCTAACATCTGGGGGACATCACACCCAGCGATGCTCAGGACTTTACTCCTGACTGTGTGCTCAGGGATCACTCCTGGCAGTGCTCGGGGGTCAAATCCAGATCAGCCACAGGCAAGGCCCTACCCACTGTGCCACTTTGGCCCCACAGTTCTTTACATTTTAAAGTCAGAAGTCGGGGCTGAAGGTCACATCCAGGGAGTGACCATGGAGCACAGGGTCAGACTTAGCTCTTGAGCACTGCTGCATGTGGCAAGAAGAAAAGGGGAAAAAGGAAACACCCCCCCCCCAATTAAAAAAAACAAACAGAAGAACCCATACTGAACAAGACCCCTGGAGTCAGCTTCGGTCAGCGAACAAAGAATGCAGAAAAGAGGAAAATGTAACGCCAGGGCAGACACTACACAGTAGTATGCACCCTGGTGGGGTGGGGCAGGGACTCATTTCACCTCCGTGGCATTCTACAAAGTCTAGAACTCCAGCGGAACCATGAGAGAACACAGCACACCAGGGGCCTGGGAGATGGTACAATGGTTAGAGCACGCAGCACCTGGCCTGGACTCAAGTCCCGGCACCACACGGTTCCCCAAGCATCACCTGTGCCGCCGGGTCCCTGGGTATCCCCAGCACTGCTGGGTGTGTCCCCAAGACAAAACAAACACCAAATGTGTCAGGGCTGGGAGCTGACTCTGCAGCCTGAGGCATGCACCCTGGGTAGGGCCCTGAGTGCCGCTGGGAGCAGCATCACAGCCTGGACCCTGATGCAGAGCACTACCTGGGAGCCCCCACAAAGCATTCTTGGCTTTGGGCCACAACTGGTGGTGCTCTCCTGGCAGTGCTCAGAACACCTTAGGAGGTGCCGAGGGGAGAACCAGGGTCAGCAGGAGGCAAGGGCAGTGCCTTAAGCCTGGTATCATCTCTCCAGCCCCCTGCACTCCCCGGTTCTTTTATTTATTTTTTTGCTTTTTGGCTCACACCCAGCGATGCTCAGGGGTTCCTCCTGGCTCTGCACTCAGGAATTACTCCTGGTGTTTTCGGGGGACCACATGGGATGCCAGGGATTGAATCCGGGTCGGCCACATGCAAGGCAAACGCCCTACCTGCTGGACTATTGCTCCGGCCCTCCAATTCTAATGTAAAGAGCCAGTCCATACAAGTCTGGGTTCTGTGGCGGGCTGGAGACTGGCTGACACCCTATTCTCCTGGACGGACGCTGCAGTGAGAGGGAGGGGGCAGGTATATGCCGGGGGTCCCGGAGGAGGGAGGC